GGAATACCTCAGGGTTCTGTCCTGGGTCCAGAGCTCCTCAACACAGACAAAGGGCTAGAAAGGTTTGCTGGAGACACGAAGATGGGGGTGGGGGGTGGGGTAGGGTAAGGAGATTGCTAACACCTCAACATTGGGGTTCAAAAGGATCTTGGTAGATTTGAATATTGGGTCTTTTCCAGTAGTTCTGTTTTCCTCAGCACTAGTGCTGGTGAGAAGGAAGTGGGAATCCTGGTAGACTACAAATGAAACCTGAGCAGCAGTGTGCTGCAGCTGCCAAAAGAGCCAATGCAGTCTCGGGTTGAATCATCAGAGGTATAATGTTGAGATTATGGGAAATGACAGTTCCACTCTACAACTCTGGTCAAACCACACCCATTGCCAGTTTTGGTTACTACAATACAAGAAGGTGGCTGAAGGCCTGGAAAAAATGCAGAGAAAAACAACCAAGGTATTGAGGGTTATGGAGCCAAGTCCCATGAAGAACTCTTAAAGGAACTGATGTTTCTTGCTGTGGAATCAAAACTGATTTTCCTCACAGAAGAAAGGCTGAGAGGGGACATGATAGCAGTCTTCCAACACTTGGACACTTGTCACAGGAAAGAGGGTGTAGATCAGGCCTGCACAAACACGTGGCCTACCAAACAGCCTTGTATGATCCATCAGTTTTGATTAATAAAGAATAAATCCACTGTCACCCTGCTCCTGCCGAGCACCTCCAAGTCTTGCCAGCTCCAGCACAGCTGCCAAACAGCTGATCAATAGACCAGGTATTATTTGTGGCTCCGATGATTTTTAATTTATCGATATTGCCCTTTCTATTCTATGAGTTGTGCAGGACTGGTGTAGATTCTTCCTCTACAGTGACAAAATCTAATGGGTAGCAGCTTTACAGAGATTCAGACTTGAAAGAAAGAGAAACTGTAGTAAATGAGAGTTAGTTCTCTCTCTCCTCTCTCTTCTCTTCTCTCTCTCACACACACCTGTATGTGTTTCCTTAAACATTTGCTAACCTAGGCAGAGTATTTGTGCAAGTGCAGTCTTCCTGAATGCTCATTTTTTGGAGGCAGAGAACTTCAGGGGGAGATGGAGACACGATCTTTTTCCAGGTTCCATCTCGGCCTTTGTGCTGCATTGCAAAATCCAGATATTGGGAGAGTTCAAAGTGATTCTTAGGGATGGAGCAGGGGTGGAGTTGCCCAAGGTTGATGAAACTGAAGTGACAAGCCAAGAAGTCTTGCTTAATAATCTGGGTATAATGAGGGTGGGGAGGGAGGGAGGGAGACCACTATGCCCAGTCGCTTTGTTCCCTGTTTCATGCTTTCAGATGCAAACTTCTGTACAAATTGATCAGATTTTTTTCTGTTCATTAGCATGAAATTTGATTAATTCTACATTTTAGTGGAAAAAAGAATCTAACCGGAAGAAGAAACATGGGAGACTGTGATATCTGGGAAATGGCAGACTCAGCCATGCATGGATCTGCATCTCCCTTTTGCCTCTTAGCCAGCAATCGGTTGAGGGAGGTGGGAGCCCTCTGCCTTAGCGGTGGAAACATTCCCTCCCCCAAAAAACTGAGTTTCTTTCCAAACTGCAGATGTAGAACCCAAACTCTACTGCTCAGATTTTGAATCCTGCCATGGGGACTTTGCTTTTCCTCTGGGCAGCCTTCTAACCTGCATCTCCCCTGCTAAATTGCTTTCTGAGAACTGGTTTCTTGGTGCTAGACTTGTACCCCTTGTAAAAAAAAATTTTTTGTTACGGTGCCTTTCCTAAAGTCATGGGCAAACTCGGTGCCTTTCCTAAAAAGCAGAGAGTGATGGAAGAGCAGCAGTGATATCCACTTCTCCAAGAATGAGGTTAAATTGCTCAGGTTGGTTGCAAGGAGGCAGAATTTATAAGAGATTCTGTTTCACTCTCCACCATCTTATAGCCTGCCCATACCTATTCAAGAACTTCCTGCTCCCCCCACCCAACCCTACGCCTTACCACCCCTCCTGAGCAAAATTGCGGCCACTGCGTGGTAGTTGTGGAGGGTACCCAGAGAAGGTCTCAGCACAGCAGCTCCAGCTCAGCCAAGGCGTTGGCATGTCCTACTCTGCCGCTAGACGACATAAACAATCGTTTACATGCTGGCCTATTTTATCTCGAGTCTGAGTGATTCACAGTCAAATGATGGATATAGACCAGGTTCCCTACAGCTGGATCAGCCTGTCTCATAGAGGGTCACATTCCTACAGATTCCATTCTCCTGCTACCATCAATTATTTTAGCCTTTTATTCATTTGTTAATCTGTTTGGATTTGGTATCAACCAAAAGGTACCAATTTCATACATTCCGGAAAGAAAACTTCCTTTTTGTTTCTCCGGCATCTTTCACTTATCAGTTTCTTTGGAGCCTCCTTGAGGCAATGCTGCCCCAACAAGCCGTGGAAAAATGGCAATTTTCCGTCCTTGCCCCACTGAAAAGGGCAACAGCCTCTATTTCAGGGACTTCAGACAGGATGGGCTTGTCAGGGAAGGCTACCTGGATTGGTTGTGAATGCCTAGGACACTGGACGCCTCCTAGTAAGTTTGAGATTGAGGGTCAGGGTTGCCAAGGGGATGGGAACCGCTTGGGCTGAAAGGTGGTGTCTGTTTGCATCCCTTCTGTGAATGAGGAGTTAGCTAGCTTCTTTGCAATGTATTTGAATGTGGCAACTCAGACAACCCCTGATCTGTTATGCCACAGGGGTAGGCTTCGCTCTGTTGGGTGCATGAAATGTTATTCTAGTTACAGATAAAATACAGTATTGCAGAGGGAAGAAAGGAGGAAGCACTGAGAAGTGATGACATAAAATGTAAACAACAGAGTTTATGAATTAAATGTATGCAAAAATAATTGCAGTATAAAAGCTGCATTTTACCAAAATCTGATCTTGCCTGTTCTGATCTCTGGCATGAGTTGCTTGTTGGTGGGCCAGATAGGATGCCCTCCAATGAGCCCAGCCCCTGTTAACTCCTCCCCATCTTCCTTCCCTTCTCTCCCCTCCCACTCCCCCTTCCCTTTCTCCCTCCTTCCCACGAAATCCATTTAAATGCAATTCCATTCTTCAGCCCTCTCCTTCATGCATGTCTAATGAATGTCAGAGAAAATGCTATTACAATGCAGCCAAGTAGGATCCAATCTTGTAGAGTGTCTACAAGTCATTTGGCGAAAACCCTGGGAGCGCTCCCAGTTTTATTACGATGTAATTAGAAATAAAATCTCATTGCCATAGTTGAATGAGGGATGGGTGTTAATCCTTTAACCGGGAAAGATAGAGCTGTACTTAGAGAAGAGATTAAGGGCAGGAGTCTGCCAGCTTAGGCAGGCCTGGTGGTTGAGGAACAGTGAAACCCCCAGGCCTGGTGGGGAAAAGATTTTTATGAATGGGAACCTCCTTTCTTCATATTTGTCATTCAGGATTTGGTGGTGGTTGGACTGAACAGGTAAAACTCTCACCGTGGCTTGGTTCGGTTGAAATAGTTCAGCCGGTTGAAACCAGCTCTTGACTTGGTGAGCTGTTAACCAGGCCATCAGCCATGAAAGCATGGCAAGATGCGCTTGGGTGGGGTTTTGAAAATGGCTCTCGTCAAGAGTGTCATTTCTTAAGCCTATATGAAATGACCGGTAGTCCAGCAGTAGTCCTGGCTACTCATTCAGCTGGGGAGACATGCCCTCTTGCTAAGGGGCAGAGGCAATGAACCCTCCCTAGCCCTTTGGGGCACAGCCTAAGCACTAAGTAGTAGGTGGCCCAGGATCCTCCTTCCCCACCCTCTCTGGAGGAAAAGATTGGCCCAGGACAATGGGTCTGAGGGCCCCTCTGGACTGGCGGCTGAGCTCAGCCAGTGGTTCTCTTTTCAGCCTGTTGGCTTAAAGGGACTTCTGGCTGTTGATATTCCTTTCTTTTGGGGAGGATCTGCCCCCACCCCATGTTTCCCAGAGTAGGGAATCCTTTAGCATGCTTTTTGTTAGTGCAGCCTCCTTCCCTCAAGGCCTTTTCCTTCCTTGCAGAATATAAGAGCTGATGCTTCTGAAAAGCTATTCCATCAATTAAATGTGCATACAAATTGGACAGGGGAGAGCAGCCATTTGCAAAGCAGTGGTTGCCTGTTGCCATAGCAACTGCCTCCCCCCCCACCCCCAAATTCTGAGGCAGACAGGCTCCAGGCTGTTGGTTCGCAGGCAGCTGGGAGAATCTGGATTCTTTGTTCCCCTTCCCCGCCCCCCACCCTCCCCCCATTCCAGACTGATGACTTTGAACTTCAACCCACGGCTTGTACCAAGGATGATGGGTGTGTGGTCCTCCAGAGAAAAGGACCTTGCCAATGCTGGGGATGCCCTGGGGAAGAAGCTGGCATCGAGCAATGCTGGTGGCTGGGCATCGGCTGGGCAACTGGATCCCATCCCTGCAGGCTGTAGAGCAATTTACCCCCCCTCCCTCTGATGCCAATTACATTTCATTGCATTCCTTGGCAGGGCTTCTCCGCCAAGGTCTCTTGGTGGATAGCCCCTTGCAGTCTTGGTGTTACTGCCAACACTGTGCTGTGGGTAAGTGAAGCACGCCTTATTGCTGGCATTTCACCTCCAACGTGTGTCTGTACTTTGTACCTGCACAGACGCACGTGGATGAGATTGCAGATAGGTATAAGTTGCCCTCTCTTTCTGACAGGGGCTTAACCAGAATGTTTGTTTTAGTCCCAAAACTGTCTTAAGACATCTCAATATGTAAGGAGTGTTAAATTGGGGGCTTAACCAGACTACTTCCAGCCTGCCAATAGGAGAACCAGGAGTCCCCTTGCAGGCTGGGCCTTGGCTCTTTCAAGCACTCTGCTGCTCTTTGCTTCCCAGTGGAAGAGGTTAGAGCCTGCAAGGTGTCTCCTTCTGTTGTGTTGCTGCTGATTCCCTTTTGCACAGATTCTTTTAGTCTTCCGGGACCTAAACATGCTAACGTTGCTCTTTTTTCTCTTGTCTCTTCCAGAAAATAGGTTTTTCATTACTTTCTATGGTGGGTTGTACATATCAGACGTCCAGAAGGAAGACGCCCTGTCCACCTATAGGTGCATTACAAAGCACAAGTATAGTGGGGAGACGCGGCAGAGCAATGGTGCCCGCTTGTCTGTCTCAGGTAGGTCTTGCTGGGTCATTTGCCAGGGAGTTGGGCTAAGTTTTGGCTTGCTTGGATGGTTGGCATGTGGGTACTGAAGGACACTTTCCTGAATTTGGGGGGGGGCAGGCAAGGATGTGGGGAGTGTTCATGGCTTCTGTGGAGCCCTGCTGGTGGGAGGAAATCCTCCAGAACAGAAAGGCCCACCCACAGCAGCAACATGCTTTTTCTGAAGAACTATCGATGGGAAGAGCAGCCTGAGAACCCGCAGTTCTTGGGGCTGAGGAGCTGCCAACAACGGATTCCTTCACTGAAGAGGGGGTTGCACCAGCTGGCCTCTAGGATCTTTCCATTTTGTGATTCTGGTTTAGTTTCAAAGCCACCAAGCAGTGCTCAAACAGTTCTTGTATTTGTAGGAAACGCAGGAAAAAAACAGTGTGAATTTGAACCAGTGGAGTGGGCAGCCAGGTATCCTGCTAGTTTGTAGCTAGGATCATTTTCTAATCTTTATCTGTGTCTCTGAGGCTTCTGGTTAATCCTACTCAGAGAAACAAGGTAGGAGGTCTAAGTGCTGGTCAGGGGAGCCTCAACATCGGCCTGTTTTCTATATTGGGCCCGAAGAGTTGGGGATAGCACCAAGTGATGTTTAACACCCAAAATGGAAAGGAGACCTACCTTGGGGCAACTAAGGAAAAATATTCCTACCAACCAGGGTGGTACAAAAATCCTTCAGTGGTTCTTGAGTTTTAAGAAACAGGGCTTTCTTCTTCCATTGAGCCTGCCCGTCTACTCAACCTTCAGCTGCTGCGAACGTTTGGGGCAGCGGAGGAAAAACTGCTCCTGGCTGAGCCTGAGCCTTCTCCCCTCTTGCTTCCCAGCAGCGGAAGCTTCATGGATGTGGGGGTCCTACTGAAGGGAGAGCCTGGAGCAGGTTCTTAGCCAAGCAGCTCCAGTCTTCCCACTCTGCCCAGTGAGGGGAAGAGGCTTCTTCTCATGCTGTCTAGGCCTAAAAGAAGCATTCAGTAAATCCCTGCAGAGAGCAGATCTGTGAAAGTGCTGGGCTCTTGAAAGGCCTGTCCTCCTGATTCCTTTGCCCCCATGCAGAGTTACATTGTTCTCCTCTCTTCACATATCTTGAATAACAAACTTCTCATCTCCCATTGGCCGAAGCTGCAGAAGGCCCAACTCAAAATTTTGGTCACCTGTTTTTGTTTTGGGACAATGCTGATGTGATCTGGTATTGGGGGATGTAGCTGGGGCGTCCTTTGTTGTGGTCAGAATGTGGTCATTCTCTATGGGCATCAGAATTATTTGCAGACACTCCCTGACACAGGGAGGAAGGATCCGTTTGATTGGTCCATCTCAAGAACTTGGTAGGTCCTGTTAGATTCCAGTGGGAACCTGGGCTGGTTCTTGAGACTCTGATGGTTTAACTAATACATCTTAGTCTGTCTCTGGAAGATGGAGTGGCAATGACTTTGGATCGGATCATACCTCTGCTTCTGGAGTCTGAAAACTCTGGTTTTCAGAGATGCTCCAGAGATGACTGGCAGAAAACAAAAAATGAATCTATGCATGGGTGAGATATTTATTAAGGACAACCTTGTGGCAATGAGTAGCAAAGCATGATTATTTCTCTGCTCTTACAACATCTGCAAATAGCCAGCTAGTGGCCCACAGTTGGTTCAATAAGCAGCAGTGCAGGTAATTATGAGCAAACCATGTTATACCCATGTAAGATTTCTATTTTGTGAGCTACATTGGGCTGGCAAGACCCCAGTCTCCAATTGTGTCTCTCAAGAGTTACTTTGGATAGTGAAATGGTTGGCATACTAAATAAATAAACAAACAAACCAAACAAACAAAATTCCATTAATATGAAAGACTAGTTTGCATTCCCTTCACAAAATAATACCATCCAATGACACATCCAATGTCTTCTCTGTACTGGCACCTGCTCTTTGAAACAGTACCCATCCCCAAAGATTTTGATGGTCTGACCCTGCTGGCCTTTAAAATCTTTAAAAAGTAAATTTTCCTTCTCAAGTTCTTGGCTAATAGATTGAATGAGCCCATCTGGGAAAAAGGAATCATTTCAAAATGAGTTTGGGGGGGGAGGGGCAAATAAATTTAACAATTTTTTAAAAATTAAAAATTGGTTTAAGGTTTTAAATATGTTGCCTTGTTGACCTTTATGCTCATCTGTTGCATATTGTACTGCCTTTTTATAATTACTGTTGTCTTAATCCCATGCTACTCAGCTGGAAGTGAATTGTGTGATTTGAGTGCCCATACAAATAGTTTGTTTAAAAGAAAGAAAAAAAATTGGTGCTCCATCATAGAGACCTGATGTAGAGAGGGCTCTGTGTCCTGTTTTTTTACTGTTTTGTGCAACTTGGGAAAGCTGCCCTGCACATTTCTTTGAGATAGCGGAAGCAGCTTCACCCCTATTGGTATCACCCTCATCTGGAGCAGTTCCTAAATATTTGTCCAAATGGCCATGGGCCAGTGAGAAGACTCGGAAGATTCTATTTCTGAGTTCTGCTGGGCGAGAGCTTTAAATGGATGCCCATCCCTGGCAGAGACCTTGGAGCCAATTCGGGAGGAAAGATAAATCCTTAAAAGGCTTTGAGAGTACCTTTCATTGTAATGCACTGCATTTATAGAATTTGGGACACGGGTTAGGGTTAACAACTGGGGTGAGATTGCACCACCTGAATTCCATTTGTTTCTCTGTTCTCAGACCCAGCAGAGTCCATCCCAACCATTCTAGACAACTTCCAGGACCAGGAAGCAAAGGTGGGGCAACTAGTGGAATTGCCATGCATTGCCTCTGGATACCCGAATCCTGCCATCCGATGGGTAAAGGATGGAAGGCCCCTGCCTGCTGACAGTCGATGGACCAAGCGTATCACAGGCCTGATGATCAGTGATTTGCGTGTGGAAGACAGTGGGACCTACATCTGTGAAATCACAAACACTTTTGGGTCTGCTGAGGTCACTGGGACCCTGGAAGTAATTGGTGAGTGGGTGAAGACTTAATTCCCAGATGCTGTGTGCGAAAAGTCTTTTACTAGGAGGGAGAGGGAAGAGGACAAGAAGAGAGAGCATGGATGTGCTCCAAGATCTTCCATATTTTTACAGAGGATGTACACCTGGGGGACCTGGCTGCTTGGGAGACTAGTAACCTACCCTTATTTATGAATGAAATGTAACTTATTCAGGATGCAAAACCAAAATTATACTGAAGAGTTCCAGAATGGTCTCCTATGTGATTCTCCAATCAAAGAACAAATGCATTTCCACTAAAGTCAGAGAACTTATTTAAATAACACTGCCCATTGGGGCAAAACTCCTCAGCTTCACAGATACAGTTGGGGTATCGGCTGTCTGTAACTAACTAGGAAAAAGATCTTGGGGTCATAGTGGACAATCTAAGGTGTCTTCATGTAAGGCAGCTGAGGAAAATGAAGGGAAGCTTTCAAAGACCCGACCCATCAAGAGGCATTCCCATAGGAATTGTTATGGGTCAGGATGATCATCTTCACCTCTGTGTTAACATCCCTGCAGACTAGCCATGGATGATGGGATTGGGAAGAGAGGTTGGGTTGCTGGTGACCAGACAAAGATGGCTCCTATGTGGGTATCCTCCTCCTCTCTTGAAATTGGTTGTGCTCTTTGTCTTTCACAGAGCCACTGCGAGTCACCCTCACACCAAAGAAGCTAAAGACTGGTATTGGAAGCACTGTTATCCTCTCTTGTGCACTTTCTGGCTCACCGGAATACTCCATCCGTTGGTTCCGCAATACGGAGCTGGTGGTTCCAGATGACTTCGTCTCCATCCGGGGAATCCACAATGAGACGTTGCTCATCACGGCTGCCCAAAAGAGCCACTCAGGGGCCTACCAGTGTTTTGCCACCAGAAAGGTCCAGACAGCTCAGGACTTTGCTGTAATTGTCTTGGAGGGTGAGCATCCAACCCTGAAGAGGGGCTTCTAGGCTCCCAATGTAGTTCTGGGTTGTTTCCAAAGAAGGAGAGATCCTGAAAGGGGTTTCCAGCAGCTCGTACTTGTTTGAGAGGATCCCATAGCTGTTGCAGCCCAGATCCTCTCTCTCCTCCACATCCTGATCCATGGGATCTGTTTCCAGCAACAAGTGGGAGGAGAGGGAGAGAGAGAGAGAAAGAGGGAGGGAGGAGAACTAACTCTCATTTACTACAGGGGAGAAAGGAAATTATTGGACTGGAAGGTGTTGAACAGGGCGGCCATTAAGCCAGCAAGGCTAATGTAATTTCACAATGAATAGTATTCCTACAAAAAATCACTTTTGGGTCAGAGCGAGTATGAATTGCCAGGACAGGAGGATAATTATTCTGTAAAATGCTGAGGGGCCTACAAAGTTATGCCCTACTCTTTCCAGGCTTTTGGGAATGTTTTGAGATTTAGGGCTTGAAATTTGGTGTTTCAACATTTTTCAGCCCTCCTATCATTAAAAAGATGTGCTTGGATGGAAAGAGCAATTGCATTGATCCACATCTCTGCTGTGGTCTCTCTCCTAGATGGGACCCCCCGGATTGTCTCCTCCTTCAGTGAGAAGGTGGTGAACCCTGGTGAGCAGTTCTCCCTGATGTGTGCAGCCAAGGGAGCCCCTCCCCCCACCATCACCTGGTCCTTGGACGATGAGCCCATCCAGAGAGATGGCAGCCACCGCACCAACCAGTACACCATGTCCGATGGCACCACTGTGAGCCACATGAATGTGACAGGCCCACACATCAGGGATGGAGGCGTCTACCGATGTACTGCGCGGAACTCGGTGGGCAGCGCCGAATACCAAGCGCGAATAAACGTAAGAGGTGCCTGTCTACTTTTCAATATCAGCCTAGGCTCTTCTTGCATTGGTTTTTCTTTCTGGTTGGTTGTGCTGTTTGTTCTGCCTTGTTCCCTTGCCTTTGTGTGTAGTTTCACCATAGGATGCCTTTTGACAGAGCAGAGGGTGCTGGGGGAGAATGCAGATCTCAGATGTCCAAGCAAAGTGTGGGTAGAATGTTGCCCCCATGGAAACTGGGTGGGAGTGCAGAAAAGGCAGGGTGGGTTGGAGCTGAACTCCCTTCCAATGACATGGCAGAGTGCCATTCTGCACCCTAGCCCTTGGCAAAACTGGTAATATGAAGCCCTTCCCTAGGTTCCTACAGTGCAGTTCAGTGTTCCATGCATTTCTTTTGGACATCTGCTATGCCTCCTCCACGCTCCTTTGTGGGGTGCCTGGAAGCCTGTTGAATGGGAGAGGTCGGCCTTTTGGCTCTCACTCAGTAGAAGGGCAACAAGCACTTAGTCTCTGGCTACTATTCATAAAATGGCCCACTAGCAAGACGGGGTTGTTGCTTGCCATTGCTTGGAGTCCCAAAGGTGCTTTTTCAAAAGGCAACTGGACTTTGTTTTTTCCTTGAGGAAGACATTTTGCTCCTCATCTGAGAAGCTTCTTCAGTTCTGACAGAATTGAAGAAGCTTCTCGGATGAGAAGTGAAACATCTTCAAGCAAAGCAAAGAAAGTCCAGATGCCTTTTGAAAAAGCACCTTTGGGGCAACCATGACCTGTGTGACTGAGAATCTCCATAGACATGTCGCTTGGAGTGTTTGAAATCACTTGAAGGAAGCCAGCTTGACAGAACTATTGCTGGGCATGGGTGGGGGCCCCCTCCCACATTCCTCCTTCTTGGGAGCGAAGCCACCCTTTCCTTGAATTGCCCTAGCCTGCCCTTTTCTCCTCCCCTGCTTCAGGCCCTCCCAGCATCCGTGCCATGAAGAACATCACAGCTGTGGCAGGCCGGGACACCTTCATCAACTGCAGGGTGATTGGCTACCCATATTACTCAATCAAGTGGTATAAGGACTCATTACTCCTGCCGGATAACCACCGACAAGTAGTCTTTGAAAATGGCACTCTCAAGCTGATGGATGTCCAGAAGGGGATGGACGAAGGAGAATACCTTTGCAGCGTCCTCATTCAGCCGCAGCTCTCTATCAGCCAGAGTGTCCATGTCACTGTGAAAGGTGGGTGGCCATAAGTAGGAATCCTCCCTGGCACTCTCACGCCTCTCCTTCCATGGCAGGCTTGCTATCTATCAAGGCTGTCCCTCTGACAGGCTCCATGGCTGGCCAGCAGATGGACCAGGACTGGCACATGGCCCCCCTAATGCTGTTGGACATGCCTGGAGAGGATCAGCCTTGCACTAGGGGGTTTAGGCAGGAGTTCCGAAAGATGGCACCCTGGTTTGCTTGTGGGCTGGGCAAGGCCTTCCCTTGCTAAATAGCCAGCCAAGGAAAGGGATAGAGAGCCAGATGTGTAGTGTGTTCGTTTCTTGGAAGAGGGGAATGGTTCTTGAGCAGGCAGCCATCAGCAGGAATGGCTTGGCGGGGCCCCTGCGTTCCAAAGGGGTTTCCAGCAGCTTGCGCCTGCTTGAGAGGATCACACAGCTGTTGCAGCCCAGATCTCCCCCTCTCCTCCGTCTCCCAATCCATGGGATGTCTTTCCAACAACAAGCGCTAGAGTCGAGTGGGCGAGTGTGCCGTGTAAACATGCACTTTGAAACAGCCGACCTTTGCTCAGAGCTCCTTTGGGGGTGGCTTTCTCTGTTTGCATCTCTGTAAAGGATCGTTCTCTCATCCTGCCAAATGCACAGAACACTGTAAGCGTTCTCCAATTCATCCATTATTCAGCTCAGTTTGGGGAGCCATCAGCCCTAATGAATTAAAAGAGAGGCAGGCCTGCCTTGCCTTTCCATCCCAGGGCTTGCTCAGTGTGAGCTCACGGCTGGACTGGCCCTTGCCAGACTGCATTTTGGGGGCAAGGACTTTGGGGCGGGGTGGGGTCGGAGATGGTTTTGAACTGCATGAGTGTTTGCAAATGGGAGGCAGTTGCTGCAGCTCTGGAGAAGGCATAGCAGCTGTTCAGGCTTCCCCGGGGTTGAGTGTTGCTGTCTTGGCCTTCTCCTTTCAAAAGGGCTCCTGCTGGCTCCCAGCAGGTTTGCATGGACATTAGGTGAACAAGGTTGGCTCAGGCTTCAGGTTGGATGGTTCTTTGTATTTGCCAGATTTTATGCAACTTTCTTAGCAAAGGGAATCTGCTTGGATGCTGCAGGGAGCCCTGAACTCTGTGGTAATCATTGGGCAACTGGACTGCCAATAAAAGGGGCAAAGGTTAAGCTGCCCTGCTGGCTCTTCCTTCCCCAAGGGCAGAGCAGGGGGAGGCCCTAGTTTGGAAGCTGCCAATCTTTCTTTGTGCCAAGAAATGGAAGGCCAGCCGTGCCCCACCTCAGGGAGATGAGAAGCTCAGCTCAGCTGCACTGCTTTTCTGTGGGGATGGCTGGTCTCAGTGGCCCTTGAGTGGCCTCCACCTTGACTTTCTTCTGGAGGGCATTTAGTCTTACTTTGACAATCATTTGGTTTAGTTAATTTAATTCAACATTTTTGTTAGTTCGTTACTTGTATTCTTTTGTTTATTTTTCTTGTAAACCATTCAGGAATAGGAAAAGCTCAGATGTGTTTGAGGGACAGGAGTTGCTGAGATGTAGCTAATGTAGCACCTTGGTTCTTGGCAGAGGTGCCTTCCAGGAAGGGAGCAACATGATGAAGCATATGTCATGGTGCAAATTCCACCTCTTTGAACTTTTGTGTGAAGCTGCATTGCAAATACTAAAGAATGGATCTAGCGTTGTGGCATCATAATACATTTAAACATTTTGACATCTCTATGGTTAGGAAGGCTGCTTTCGCCAATAAATCCAATCATTCACAGCATGCCTTCTTCCTGGCTAGGTGGAAGATCTACCTTTCAGAACCCAGAAGAGATGAGGTAGGCCAGGTATCCATGGGGAGAAGGAGATTCAAAGCTGAAGAGCAACAATAAAAAATGCCCATTTCCTGGGTCTCATCCGATAACATTTACAGGAAGTGGGATCTGGACAAAGTTAACCTATTTGGTTTGATTGGACAGACAGATAAGTAAAATGCTCCCAAAGATAATCCAGCTCAGAGCCACAAAGCACTTTAAAAGTGACAATTAGTGCCTCAAATCCCACTTAGAAGTCAACCAGCATCTAAGACATCTCTGGAAGCAGTCTAATATAATGGGAAATGTCATCTCTGCTCAGGCTGCTCATTTTGTTCCGGCTACACTCTGGAAGGTGTTCAAGGACAGCTCTGTGCCAAGCACAACACAATCACCCAGCAGGAGGCAGCTAGAGTGACTGAGTGTCCTGATCCTAGAGGAGACACAATTGGTGCACAGGATACAGCTGTGCAAAAGTCCTCCTCACCACAGCTGCCCCTGTTCCTCCAGCAGGAGCTGAATCTGGAAAGACCCTTTGCTTGTGAAGGGCCTCCAAACAGGAGATAAGACCCCGTTTAGAGCCCAAACTACTCTTATATCTTGGAGGAAGTTGGTCTAGCTCTGTTCTTCACCATCTAGAAATCAGACACCCAGCATTATTACACTTATGATGGTCAGCTTCATTCAAAATCTTTTAAATGAATGAATGAACTTCTTTTGTCCACAAGCTCATAAAACCCTGTGTTTCATATGTTTTGTGGGTGCTGTGGCAAATTATATGGGACATGTCAAACTTGTGGGGCAGTTTGGGGAGAGTAGTTAGATTTTTGTGTATGTTTTGACTGTCATGTGTCTGTCTTAGGACTTGCCGCTAATTGATATGAATTTCTCATCTCAAAATGGTAGGAAACTATTTCCAGCAATGAAGATCAAAGGGATTTGTGAGGCTGCCATAGGCCTTGAAATGGGTTGAGCCTTCATCCGATTGATCCTGAATCTTCCACCAAGGTCTCTCTAGCCCTTTGTCCACCCTTTCATCACCATGGGCTCCTTGGGAAGAGCAAGGGATCTCAGCAGGGAAAGGGCACTGGGAAACAATTGTATCAGTTGTTAGATTAGAGAGAACCAACAGTTTTGGTGCAAGATATTTTCTGAAAATTCCAGAAAACAATTTGGATCTAAGAGGTTATCATATCTCCCTAGCCACAATTAGAAGACCAGCAAAGCAGCTCAGGTTAATAAGATTTATTAGGAAAATGGTTTTATACAAGAATTCTAGTAAGTAACCTTGCTTTCAAATGTGACAACTCATAATTGTTGGATTCTAGCTTTCTTTCTCTTGTGCTTGTGCTATAATGCATGATAGTTTCTAGCCACATTCTCAATGTGGGAATTTTCCTTTCTGGTGGTTACCCATCCCTGTGGTAAAAGGTGTTCCTGTAAGTCCTGTCTATTCTAACAGACAGGCAGGCAGGGATTTCTCTATAGCAGAGAATTATCTGCTACCCATCCAACTTCAGGTTGTATTCTTGCTCTTTTGCAAATCTGCTATTCAGCAAGCTTGAGTGTGCCAAATCTTCCCATAAGGGCTTGCAACTGTTTTGCAAAATAGGTAAGACTTATCATGAAGGGAGAGCTGTGGCCCCTGGATGTGTGGCTGAGAATTCCCTTGGTCCCCCAGAGCTATTTCCAAGCTCTCAGGTGCTGTGCAGAATCTCTTCCCATTGTCTGAGCAGGCCTCCCCTCAAGCCATGGGCTCATTCTCGGGGGGGGGGGGAGGGGAGCGGCTCCACTAGGCGACCTATCTCCTCTTCCTGCTTTCCCACCCTCCAGGGCCCTTTGGTGTCCAACACATTCCTCTTTTTGACAGTTCCTCCTCTGATCCAGCCCTTTGAGTTCCCTCCGGCTTCCATTGGGCAACTTCTGTACATTCCATGTGTGGTCTCTTCTGGCGATATGCCGATCCGCATCACTTGGAGGAAGGACGGGCAGGTGATTGTCTCAGGCTCTGGCATCACCATCGAGAGCAAGGAGTTCATGAGCTCCTTGCAGATCTCCAGCGTCTCCCTGAAGCACAACGGCAACTACACCTGCATTGCTAGCAATGCTGCTGCCACCATTAGCCGAGAGCGGCAGTTGATTGTGCGAGGTAAGGAGCCGACTGGGCTTTGGTGGGGAAAAGTCCCTGATGGTTCCCAAGGTAGTCCTGGTTGGCTTCCTGCCCAGGAAGGGACTGTGCTCCTTCCCAGATAATGATCCGGATAGTTGAGGCTGCTGGGCCAAGCTTGGCGCCGTCTGCCATACATTACCAGGAAGCCATGGAAGAAGTTGCTTGATGAACTCAGCAAAGGGTTAGGATTTCAGATGGCCCAGCTCTAGGGGGCTCAGAACAGGGGAACAGGGCTTGGTGCGACTGAATGTGTCAGAGGAGCAGAAATGCCTAGAAGGGCAGTTACAATGATATGGTGACGGGAGAGTTAGAAAAGGGCTTTAGAAAATGGCTGGGGGAGGGGTTGCTGTCAGCACTTTGGGAAGCTGGATTTCTGTAATCATTTATTTAATCCAATTTTGAAGTTGCTGGATTCCTTAACAACTCTGGGTGGCTTACATACAAGAGTTTAATGTAATAAATAGATAAAAAACACTGCCAACCAGAACAAAGCTAAGCTAAACTCCACACCTACCCTATCTCAAGGCCCAAGAAAATATTTTAATCAGTTTTAAAATACTGTCTGGAACATCCTAAGGATGGGAGCTGTACAGGTCTTGGGGGGAAGTGGAATATCACTCCAGAGGGCAGGTACTGCAACCAAGTGGGTGCACCTCCTGGGTGCTGCAACATGACATTGCTGGATAGATGGCACCTGGAGGGAACCCACACTGCTTGAACAACACAGATGGGCAGAAACAAGCGGAGAGAAGCATCCCCTCAGCCAGCCCTATGCCATGAAGATTTTAAAAGTGATAACTAGCCTCTCGAATTGATAGGCAACCAGTGCAAATTGTGGAGTAGAGTGGGTCCCATGAGCATAAAACACTGCTCCTATCACTGCTCATGGATCTACTACAGTTTCTACAAGGACAGCTCCCTGTAGCATAAGGAGAATTATAGTAATTCAATTGTGAGGTGCCTAGGAATTGAGTGAGTCCTTGAAGAGCCTCCCAATTGAGGAAGGAAGGGAGGAGAAATAAGAGTAGGTTAGAAAGGGAGAAAGAGAGGAGGAGAGGGAGAAAGGAAGGGGAAGTAGAGAAGGAGTAGGAGAAGAGGGAAGAAGAAAGTAGAAAGAAAAGAAGGGAGGGAGATGGAAGAGATTGAGAAGAAAGATTGCTGTATAATAAAAAAGATGAAATGGAAGAAAGGCAACCCCGAACATGAATAAATGCACTAGGATAAAGAATGAGTTATTAAAAAATAAAAGAAAATAAATATGAGTTAAAACAGAAAAATTAGAATTTGAGGGCGAATAAAGATGTTGTTTATACAAATAAGCATAGAAATTTTAAGACACGATCAAAGAATGGAAAAAGAAAATTTTGGCAAAAATTGTAACTGAGTAAAATGTATTTGAATATGATAAATTGTATAACTTATGATATGGCCAATACTCTGTTCATAAAATATGTGGGGGAATGTGGGGGGGGGAATCAATAAAATTTGATTCAAAAAAGAAGAAGAAGAAGCTAAAGAGCCTCCCAATCCAGAGAAGGGCATATCTTGCACACCCACATGTACTGTACCTATGCAAAAGACCTCCGGGCCACAGCTACTACCTACTTTTTGAGAGTTCTGCGTACATCCTACCATCCACCTAGCTCTACCAAAGGTCATCAGCAAGTGCCACCAAAGTAACTTCCACACGAAATCCTGGCCTGAATACCAACTGAAACAGGTCAAGATAATCTGCTTCTGCTGGGGACCTTGAAGCTGAAGCCTGATTGCCTTTTCCACCAACTTCCCTATAAAGGCAGATTGGAGACTGGATGGTCCAGGGCTGTTGGGTGCAGCTATGACCTTTTGAAGCGAGGGCACAGAAAAAGGCCAAGGGTACCATACTCACTCAAAGAAGCGAACACCCCCCATGAACCCAACCACAAGTCACCTCCTGGGTTGCTGTCACTGCCCCTTCCAGCCTGTGGCCGATGGCAGACTGTCCACCAAACCCCCAGGGGAAGCCCCAAGAAACCAGTCAGGTCCCTCGCTGCAGCTCTGCTTCAACAGGCCTGGTGCCTGAAACTTTTCTGAAGGGAAGAAGCAGCCAGGAGGCTGAGGTTGCTCAAGTGGACTGCCCCCACTTGTTCAGCTAATGCCATGTGGCTAAGGGAGGTGTGGGGTCTGTCTTCCCAGCAGAAAGTGAGGTATGGGTAGGGCAAACTGCTGGTGCAGAATTGTGGGGGCACAGGCAGAGGAGTTGGGGGGGCTGTGATTTAGAACCTAATACCATCTAATGTGACAAATTCTCCGGCTGAGCTGACCTGTAGCAGCTCCAGGCCTGTGTTCTGCCCCAGCTCTGGATTTCCGAGGATATTGACACACACCAACGGTCCTTATCAAATTTATTAAGTAGCAAGAATAAACAAGACCGGCAAAGGTTGGCAACCAGCCGAGAAAACAAGATACAATAAACCAAAATACTCTGATAATAAATACGAGTTGTTTCCAGCAAGAAAGCACTAGCTGCGTGCGACTTAAATAGGCTAAGGGAGTGGCCAATTATCCTCAAGCCCTACACTTGAGTAGACCTCCTCCTCCTGAGTAGCCACTCCTGCCTTTTGGCAGCCCTGCGTGCTCGAGCATTGAGGAGAGGCTCCTCCACTTCGCTCTCTCCACTTGAAGGAGCCTCTGGAAGTTCTGAAGGCCCTGGCTGAGTCTCTGCCTCTGGCACCACATCCTCTTCAGCCTCCTCACTGTCCGACGCGAGCACCGGCTGGCGCGACACCACACCAGCCTTGTCGTCGGGATCAGCCACGATCCGTGCAGGCCGCTGGTGGGCCACAACAGCCTGTGGGTGGACATTTCAGAGGTGATTTGGAGTTATTCTGGTCCAGCAAGCATTAGAACAAAAAGACACATCTGTTGTAAAAGCCGTCCCTCAACACATGCTGTTTGGGGTTTCCGCATTTTTCTTCTTGTACGTGTTATGCTTCTGATAGAGAAAAAAAACAAGGCAGCAAAGCTGGTGAATTGAATGACAGCACTGCTCTGTGTGGCATTGCTGGCCTTGGATCATATTCTAGGCCAGGAGAAAAGTCCATCCTGCCACACAGGCTCTGATTCTGAATCCTAACCCTAACCTAGGGGTTGGCAACCTTAAACACTTAAAGAGCCATTTGGACCCGTTTCCCACAGAAAAAAAAACACCGGGAGCCACAGAACCCTTTTGACATCTAAAATGAAGATAACACTTCATATACACTGCATATATTGTTTTTTACCTTTATGCTATGTATAAAAAAATTATAGTGTGTTGCATTTATGAAATCAATGACCTGCTACAGAGAAAACACATTTTTATTTCTGCATGCAACAAAAACATTTTGAACTCAAAAAAAAAAAAAAGATGGGTTGAAAAGATCAATAAATTGGGTGTCGCACATTGGCAGTTGTGATGCATATTTTGAGTGACAGGGAACCGCAGCAGAGGGATGAAAGAGACACATCCGGCTCCAGAGCCGCGGGTTTCAGATCCCTGCCCTAACCCTATCCCTATCCCTGATCTGGTGGCATGCTTCTGCATCTCCAGCGCAAGGTATCTTCCGAGCCCCTGGGTGGCTCCCCACCCCACACATCTGCCGAAGGAAAAGAGGATGCCTTTTCTCCAGATGCAGATGTGTGTCTGTCACCATCTAAAGAGAGCAGATAGTCCTGCCTGTGGCATCCTCTGTTCTAACTGTGATTGCCCAGAGATTGGACACCCATTTCTTCAGAATCATATAGGTTGAGCAAGGGGTTGGACTAGAAGACCTCCAAGGTCCCTTCCAACTCTGTTATTCTGTAAAAGGTGGAGGGAGGCTGCAAATGGGAAGTGGGGGGGCTCATGAGAGGAGTCTTCAGCATTTCTTTAGGCCTGGCATTTTTGAGGTGTTAAGCCAGATAAGGGAAGGCGATGGGGTGGGAATATTAGAGTGAAGGGAAGAATTGGCAGTAAAAGACCCCTGAGTGAAGGGAGGCTTTGGGACTGTCCCTTCACCTGCTCCCTTGTTCCACAGTGCCTCCTCGTTTTGTGGTCCAGCCCAACAATCAAGATGGGATTTATGGCAAAGCTGGGGTCTTGAACTGTTCAGTGGATGGGTATCCCCCTCCCAAAGTCATGTGGAAACATGCTAAAGGTATGTGAAATCTTTCCTTTGGGATTGCAGTGGAGGGCTATGCCCTCAAAGTGTGTGGAGCAGGGACCAAGACTGGTGAATTGAATGGCAGCACTGCTCTGTGCGGCATCGCTGGCCTTAGATTGAGGCCAGCATTGAGAAGAGAATCAGTGGTGGCCTGGTAGATGGCTTGGTCCGGCTAGTGGCTCCCCTCTTTCCCCAGCCATTGAAGGGCCTTTTTCTCACTTATTTTCTTCCAGGCAGTGGGAACCCCCAGCAGTACCACCCTGTCCCCCTGACAGGCCGCATCCAGATCCTGCCAAACAGTTCACTGCTCATCCGGCATGTTTTAGAAGAAGACATCGGCTATTATCTGTGCCAGGCCAGCAACGGAGTTGGGACAGACATCAGCAAGTCCATGTTCCTCACCGTGAAGAGTGAGTGACGCAGCTGTGCCTGGCCTTCTCTCAGGGAGAGCGCAGTTTGTGTGGGCAACCAAGAGACTACTTTTGTTCGTGGGATGGGGCCACTCCTGGATGCTTTGTGCATCTATTAGCCCCTTCCGAATATAATAGCTGTTAGGTTGGTGTCCCTTCTTTGCACCATTTGCCAGGTTATTTTGCCCCTCTGAACAAGGTCTTGGTTGTTCCATTTGTTGGGACTGTCACTGAAGTAGTCTCTGATCACAGATACTGCGTGCTTGGCAGATCAGATTGGCCCTTCAGTTGTTCTGGCCAGGTTCACTTCTAGCACTTCTCTTGCAATCTTGGAAGTCAGTATGCAAAGAAGGGGATGTTCTCTGGTGACACATTGACTTTAATAAAAGTAGGCCCTCAGCTGACCTTGAAGGGAGGCAAGACAGCCGTCCTAATAGCAGGCATTCCACCGAGAAGCCCAGAACAGTTTGGGGCAGGTGAATGGAAAGACCTGTGAAGCATTGGGGGATGTTCTCCAGAGAAAGCACCCTTATGGCACTGAATCCCTCTTTTTATCCCTTGCTTTGGAGTTTTGCATGAGACTAATTATTTTTTCCACTTGTCAGTCATTATTCTGATGGCTCTGAGAAGACATTCACCTTAAGGTGATTATAGCTTATGAAATCCCCCTCTTCAGTTTTTATGCTCTACTCATGCCACACTCTTGGCACTGACAGCCAGACGGGGTTCGTGGGGGGCCTGGCTGGGCTGGGCTGGGCTGTCCCAAGCCCATAACAGGGACTTTGCCCATTTTGCAGCCATCACTCACATGCTCCTGGTAGTCAGCAGGTGCATGAAGGCTGGAGAAGTGGCCTCACTATCTAAGCATTACTGATTGCTTCCATGCATTTTAAATTAATCTCATGCTTCAGGTGAAATGCAGCTAATCAGGGAAGACAAGAAGCTGAAAAGGGTGCAATCAAATTAACATCACAGAGCTTGCACTTAAGACCACCCCCCACGTTTGCTTTGGCTCTCTTCCCTTTCAGTACTCTGTTCCCTTTTGTTTGCTGCTCTGCTCTAGTGGGACTATGGCAGGGCAGGGCGGGGCGGTGGGGGGTGGGGAGAATATCCCAAACACTGAAAATTTCCATTATAGCTGCCTTATCTCAAGCTAACAAATGAAAACAGCCTTTTGTCGGCAACTTGTTCACAAGACACCAAAATGAAGAGCCTGAAAGGAGAACAGGGTTTTCTTGGGGGTTGGGTGATGATGGCCTTTTGCAGGGTTTGCTTCTTCAGGAGAGATGGAACAGATGGTGGTGATGGGGGGGTGGGGAGAGAGCTAACTTCCAGAGGCATGCCTGTGGTCTACTCTTTCACGATGAAGGGCTGGTGGGCCCACTGAATGTCTGCTTTGCACTAGTGCTCCCTTCTCAACTACCAAACAGCGTTCCGGCAGGTGCCTGGGACCAGCCTTGCTCCTGGCAGGGAACTCAACAGCTTCGTTTGTCCTCTGAAAAGGTCCTTTTTTCCTAACCTGACTTTCCCATTATTCAAATCTATTGGATGACCTTCAGGGCCTTCCTGCTGTCTCCTCATCTGGTATAACTTAAAAGGTGGTGACCCCAGGGACCCATTTTTCATAGAAAAACAGTTTTTGGGGAGTCAGGGATGAGCATAACTAGCAGTGGCCTTGGCAACCATTCAAGGTTTTAGATGGCTTTTAAGAGCCATCGTGGGCAATGGGCACATGAGGATGGCTTGCTTCTTTTTGCTTTCCCAGCTCCAGATATTTCTGTGGGATTTGGGGGGCCTCTTAAGATCAGCATTGGAGCTGATAGGCTTTTGGGCATGGCATAATTTTCTGCTTTGTGAGGGTGCTGGTTGGAAGCTCAGTTCAAATGGTTTGCAGCTACCGTAGTAACCAAGCCGAAAATTGAGGCCTGTGGGTTCTTAATTTATCTAAAATACGTATGCATTTAGAGGCTGCCCATCTCATACAATCACCCTAACCTGTTCACAATAATCCATAAGATATCATTTTAAAAGTACCCTCTTTTTGGGGCGTCAGGCCCAACTTCCCATCCCAGTTTGATGCTTGAGGGAAGAACTGGTCTTCACATCTTCTAGAAGGCTGAAAGGGTCCCTCTGATCTCCAGTGGACTGGAATGGTCACTGAGAAAGCAGTCTTTGAGGTCCCATCTGGTGGCAACATTTAAGGGAGGGGACCCTACCTAACTTAAAATGGGCAGATGCTCTCAGAGAGAGGTGGTTGAACAAGCAGCCAGCCCTGGTGCCCTGCAGGGTTTTAAAGAAGTCAACCGGCAACTTGCATTGCACCTAGAATGCAGCCAATGAAGCTCTGGGGAACCAGGGGGCACCCAAAACTGCACCTGCTGCTGCAGTGTGGACCAGCTGCAGCTTCTGGATGGTCTTCAAGGGCAGCCCGATGTAGTGCACATTGCAGTAATCCAAACAAGAGATGACTAAGGCATGGGTGATTGTGAGCAAGAGCTGTTAATGCTTTCACTAAAATCCCATGTTCCAAAAACCTGGACTCTTCATGGTTAACCATTGCAGTTATCAGCACAGCAGTCTCCCAGTGGTGGAAAGGGTGTCGAACAAGGTTAGCATCTTAACTGGGCCATCTCCAAAAAGAGGTTGTGACTGGCTGGTAGGCATACCTGAGAGGGGATCCCCTTGCTGGTTGCCACTCCTCTGCCCTCAGGCTGAGCTCCAAGTCACCCTCCCGGCTCTCTTTCCTTTCTTGCCTCTGCCCCTTTTTGCTCTCTCAGGACTCATCCAGCCTTTTGGGGGAGGGGAGGGGGGTTTTCATGCCATCTGCCTAGCAAAACCGTTCCTAGTTTCTATTCTGCTAAATTGCCCAAAAGAGCACTTTCCCGAGTGAATGGCCAGCATTAAATGCACACCATTCTTTTGCTTGCCCTTGCCTGCCCCCTCCCCTTCAGCCACTGGGTTATGTGCCACTCCAGCCCTGCAAACAAAATGGTTTGTGTGGTGATGTGGCATTACAGTCCACCCTTGGTTCTGTCCACATGCTGCCAATGGGAGCAAGTTGAAAGTCAGCCTTTTCCCAGCTGCTAATTGAATTAGATTGCCATGGAAAGTGGAGAAGCTGTAGTTCATTAAACCCCCCAGTGTCCCATTAGAACTGTGTGTGTTGCCTTTGCTGATTGTCATTACCATATATTACCGCGCTCTTTGGGTAAGCAGTGCCTTTTTAAAATCTCTGCCCTCTGAGCCAGCCTGGTTGCATACTCAGCATTCCCTTCCCCCCATCATTTTTGGATTAGGAAAAAGAGGAGGGGATAGCATGTATTAGTGTGACTTTGTGGCAACTGCCCCTGTGGGGAGGAAGAGGTTCTGGCTGTTGCTGGGATCTTCTCCAAAGCTTAATGGGCAGGCTAAGCTGCTGTGGAAGCTGAGGGGTGGGATGGGGGAGCCAGGCAGCTGGTGGCCAAAGCAGCACATGCAAGAGCAGTGGAGAGCAAAGTTCAGAAAAGGGGGAAGAAAAATGCCCGCCCTCAACCCTTCAACTCGGCCTGCAGTGACAAGGAGCCCATCCATTCCTCCATCTACTCAGATTTGGCTGCCCACCTGGTCTCCTGTGCCCTGAGCTTCCTGCCCCACAGCTGTCCCTAAGTGGGAAGCTACCCTGCTTCTCCTCTCCTCTTCTCTTGGCAGTCCCAGCTATGATCACCTCCCACCCCAACACCACCATCGCCATCAAGGGCCAGGCTAAAGAGCTGAATTGCACAGCTCGTGGTGAGCGCCCCATTATAATTCGTTGGGAGAAAGGGGACACCGTGATCGATCCTGACCGAAACGTCCGATATGCCATTGCTACGAAGGATAATAGTGACGAGGTCATCTCGACCCTCAAAGTAAGAAGCACGGCTGCCATGCTGGGGGTGGGGACGGGGGGTGGGGGTGGGCAGGGCTGCAGCTGGGCCCTTAACATGCTGGGGTTTGTGGGCCTTTTGTGGCAGGGGAGAGCATAGCCAGCCTGGGATTTGGAGCACCCATGTGTGCAGCAGGGGTTGCAACTTTCCTTTGGTGCTGAAATCTCCAACTTGCTGCCTTGTCCAGAGATCTTTCAGGGAATGACATTGAGATTTGAGCTGATGTTGCTTTCTCCACAGCTCAAGCCCGCTGAACGAGGAGACTCTGTTTTTTTTTCCTGCCATGCGATCAACTCCTATGGTGAAGACCGAGGACTTATTCAACTTACTGTACAAGGTATTGGCCTTTGTTGGGTGTGTATGCACGTAGCCAATGGTGCCTTTGGTGTGTAGCTTCCGCTGGATTAATCCCCAGTTTATGACAACGGAGCTTTGAGGGTTGCAGAACACTGACCACATTTTAGCTGCTATTAGCAATAAAAACTTAAGGAAGTCAGCTCATTTTCTATTTTTTCATGGACAATTTCCTGAGAAAAGCATGACATGAACATGGATTTAAAATAATTAAGATATTATGTCTGATTCCCTGTTGAGATCTTTTAAGCTAAATTTTAGCCCTCTATCTGCTCCTAGATGTTCTCAAGGAATTCAAATGCAAAGTGGAGATGGAAGGGTGCTTCCTTTTCCACCCCGCCACCCCCAAACAATGCCCAGATTTCGGAAGATGGGGAGCTGCTGGTCTCCCATCATTTCTGAGCAGGTTCTGCATTGTGTCTCGGGAGAACTAGCAGGGGCTTCTGAGGCAAGGCAAATTTCCCTGGTTGCACTCAGCTGCCATGGAAATGGAATTCAGTGACCCACACCTGGCTCTTTGGAGCTGCACTTAGGAATGGTCCCAGTCATTCCTTGTCCACCATCCGGCATGCAGGGGACCTTCCAAAATGATATTCTCCCCCTCTCAGCTTTTACATTTTGTGCAATTGGGTGGAAATGCAATTTCAGTTTATTCACTCTGATATTTTGTTCAATATGCTAACCTTTTTTTGACCTGCATTTTCAAGAAAACCTACTGAATGTGGAAGTCCTTCTTGGGACTTCTACCCTTCTTATTAATTTTTCCAACTGTTGCATTTTCTGGGTTGGAGGCTGGTGGTCTGATGTATGCTTGTCTGCTGTGCATGGGGGGGAGGAGCGTGGCATTTCCTATTTTTTACTGCTGCCCCCCTGTCCCTCCCCAGAGCCACCAGACCCTCCAGAACTGGAGATCCGAGAAGTGAAAGCCCGCAGTATGAATTTACGGTGGACTCAGAGGTTTGATGGCAACAGCATCATCACAGGCTTTGATATTGAGTACAAGAATAAGTCTGGTGAGCAGAACTAATGATGTTCTGGGTGGAAACAGGAATTGGAAAACATCTTGCTTAAGATTCATGCATTTTTTTAAAAAAAGTTATTTATTACTACAGGTTGTCCTCGACTTACAACAATTCATTTAGTGGCCATTCCAAGTTACAACAGCACTGAAAAAAGTGATTTAAGACCGTTTTTCACACTTTTGACCATTGCAGTCATCTGAACAAAATCCAAATGCTTGGCAACTGGCATGTATTTACAACGGTTGCAGTCTCCCGGGGTCACATGATCACTTTTGTGATCTTCTGACAAGCAAAGTCAATGGAGAAGCCAGATTCATTTAACAACCATGTTACTAACTTAACAACTGCAATGATTCACTTAACAACTCTGGCAAGGAAGGTTGTAAAATGAGGCAAAACTCACTTAATAAATGTTTCACTTAGCAATAGAATTCTGAGCTCAATTGTGGTCATAAGTTGAGGACTACCTGTTCTGAGAAAATGGGAGAAATTCAACTTGAATAGAAGGTTGGCTTGGATGACCTCAAACGATGCTGCAAAACGCAGTGCCAGGAAAAAAGGGGTTTCGGAGCAAGAAGTTATGCTCCAGCGTTGCAGGTCCTTGTAGATGCATTGAGGACCCCATGTCAAGTATGTTTGGTCAGCTTGTTGTGAATCCATCTGCTGGTGATGCTGTCTATCCCACATTTTTGTTGTTGTTGTTGTTGTTGTTGTTAAATGCCTTACTGGCCTAAGTAAACTATGTCCATAGCATTTCCCTGATTCACTAATGTAGTCACTTTGTTAAAGAAGGCAATAATTGTCTGGCATAATCTGTTTTTAACAAGCCCATATTGGCTTCTGGTAATCACTTTGCTCATTTCTAAGTTTTCGCAGATCCACTGCTTGAATATCTTCTTCCAAGATTTTCCCAGGTATTATTGTCAGGCTGATTGGCCTCTAGTTTCCTAGATTCACTTTTTTTTTCCTTTTTGAAGATTGGAATCACATGAGTTCTTTTCCAGTCCTCTGGCAGTTCCTTGGTTCTCCAGGAGCTTTGAAAGATTTTGCTCAGTGGTTCCGAGATCACTTCTGCCAGTTTCTTCAGAACTTTGGGATGCAATCCATTTGGCCTGGCAATTTGAACTCATTCATATTGCATAAGGGATTTCTTACCATTTTCTTGCCTATTTTGACTTGTATTCCTACTCTGCCGTCTACTGTACTGCTTTTGATAGGTAGGACAGAGGCAAAAACTGATTAGGCAGTTCCATTTTCTCCCTGTTATCCATCACTTCCTTGCCATCTTCTCCCATTAGTGAACTGATCATTTTCTTGACTTTTTTCTTGTTTCTTCCATGTTGAAAAAGGGGGCACGATGGCTCAGTTAAAGATGCTGAGCTTGTCAGCTGGAAAGTTGATAGTCCGGTTTCGAGACCTGAGTGCCATGCAATGGGGTGAGCTACCGTTCCTGCTCACCTAGCAGTTTGAAAGCATGCAAATGCAAGTAGATAATAAGTACCACTTTGGTGGGAAGGTAACAGAGTTCTGTGCATCTTTGGTGTATAGCCATGCTGGCCACATCACCACGAAAAATATCTTTGGACAACCCTGGCTTTCCCAGCCAAGAAATAGATGAGCACCATGTCCTAGAGTCAGACACGACTGGACAGGGAAAACCTATACCGTTACAAGTTAAAAAAATCTATTTTATTATTTATTTATCATTCTTTGCACAGTCAGCCAGATGTTCAGACTGGATTTGGCATTTTTATCCACCTATCCGGTCCTTCGCAAGGATCTGGGATAGGCCAAAGTGGATGTTTGATGGTGTTACAGATATCATTGCAGGATGTCAGCTGTTCTGAGTAAATTATGATGAATTTGTTAATGCTCATGGTGTTCAAGTTGTTTTGGGATTGCACCCAAGGCCTATTGATACCAACTTTGCTTTTGTTTGCCACAGTTATTCCATTTCTATTTGCAGGCCTTCATATTTCGTTAGCTTCCCATTTCTTTATTCTGCTATCTCCAGGTGCTGTCACATCCACTATCCAGATGGTTTTTGTCCTTCTTATGGACAATTGTTAAGTCAGGCATGTTGTGTGTCAGATGCCTGTCTGTTTAAATTCTAAAGTTCCAGAGCACTTTAGCTTCTTCATTTTCTATTACTTTATTTTATCATCCCATCAGTTCTTCTTTGCAGGCATAGGGCATTACTTGCAAATCTTCCAATGCACCAGTGTTGGTATTTTGTCATGCCATTGTTTGTAGTCAATCTGTGCAATCTTCTGGCAGCAACTAACCAGGTGGTCCATTGTTTCTTCAGCTTCTTTGCAGAGGCAGCACTTTCTACCTGTTGCTATGTTCTCAATTCTGGCTGTGCATGCATTTGTTCTTAAGGCTTGTGCAGCCAGAATTAGCCCCTCTTTCTTCAACTTCCTTGTTCTTAGCCATTGCCATGTCTTGTTGTTGCCTGTTTTGCCTACTATTTTTTTAATGAAGCGGCCACACGATGCTTTGTCTTTCCATGCTTCTTTTCTATTCTTCCATTTGGTCTTTCTTGCAGGCCAGTCTGGTCTCTTCAGTACTACTTGGTAAGCCTTCCTGATATACTCGTTTCACTGCATCTTCTTCACTGTCCTTCAGAGATTCTTCCAGTGCCCTTTTTTCTTCTTCAACTGTTTGGTGTACTTGCAACATTCCATGCTCACTTATTTTCCTTGGTAAGTAAAGTCTGTCAACACCTAATGTGTGAACAAAGGGCATGATTCATTTCCATTATTTTTCTGGCCTTTCTATCCAGGGCCTTTGGTTCTGCTTGAGTCCAGTCTACTATTCCAGCTGTGTATCTAATGACAGGAATTACCCAGATGTTAATTGCCATGATAGTATTTCCTCCACTGAGTTTGGACTTTAAGTTCTTCTTCACTCTAATGCTGTTATTTATGTTTAACCTTCTTCTTTACTTCAGTGTGGTTGATGTTGTGAGCTTGAAGGATGCCCAGGTATTTGTAGTCTTCATCCAGATTCTTGATTTACTTTCATAGGGCCTTATAGATTCCTTCAGTTTTCACTATTTTTCCCCATTTGATGGTAAGCATGGTACATTTGTCCATTCCAAATTCCATTGCAGTTTCGTGGTTGAATATATGGACAGTGCTGAGCAGGGATTCTATTTCAGGTGATGTTTTTCCTTACAGCTTCAGCTCATCCACGTAAAAGAAGTGAGAGAGCCTGGCAGAGGTTTTGATGTTTGATAGCCATGACTATTTGTTATTTATTTATAAATACATTTATTATTCATTGGTTGATATTATTTAACTTTTCAATGCAACTACTTTGGCTGACTTGTTACTCTGTCTTAACCTCCAGCCTCTGAGGAGCATATAATTTTAGAGATGCGAGCAGAAAGCTCAAAAGTAAAGCTTCTTGACATCCTTCCCCATCTTCCCAATTATTTGTGGTTTCAAAGAATTTATGACACGCAACTGTGTTTGAAACTCTGGATCAACAAATAATCCCTCAGCCATTCTGTTTATTTCCAGATTCCTGGGATTTTAAGCAATCTACCCGGAACATCTCTCCCTCCATTAACCAGGCCAATATTGTGGATCTTCACCCGGCCTCTGTATATAGCATCCGCATGTTTTCATTCAACAAGATTGGCCGCAGTGAGCCAAGCAAGGACCTGACCATCAGCACGGAGGAAGCAGGTGCCCATCTGCCTCAGGGCTGTATCCACAAGATAATTTATGAAACAAATTGGGTGATGGACAAAGTGTGAGAAAGAGGAAGTCATGAAGGTTGAGAACACATAATTGATGTCTGTGCTTAAGACCCATATCTTCTTTACCCCCCACCCTTTTTCTGCCCAAGAGTCTGTTGTCCTCACTTAAAAGTCTTGGTTCCATAGACAAGATGTGTGTGTGTTTGTGTGTGTGTGTGTATGTGGAATGTTTAAGTCTCTATGGCAACAATGTGTGTGTGAGTGCACATGTCCTTGTCAGATTGGCAGAAGTCCTTGTTCCTTGGGGCAAAAGCCATTTGCTTGTTTTCTTGGGTTGGTCCTGTCAGGAAGCTCCCTTCATGAGCTGAGTGGTGGGCCAACTGGGCTAATCTGTTCTTCAGAAAGAACTGGACCTGGCTCCCTTTAAAAGTTTGCCTAGTATGTTGCACAATGAAAACATTGGTTTAGTGGAATTTATCTGATGAAATGCCTCGTATCAAAATAAACAGGTCTGTCTTCTAAAATGCCACAGAATAATTATTTTTCAGTATAATTTATAGCATTCTCTGAGGTTCATCCTTTAAACTGAAGAACTTTGTTGGTTTTCCAGTTGCTCTGTTGATTGCTGTCTTCACTACTGGCCTTTCTCTCCCCACTCTACTCCCTTCCCAGCAAGCTAAAGCAACTGCTGCCACCTCTGAAGTTTGTGGAACAGATGCCTAAATCCATTCCACTAGGCCTGGTTCCCTTGGCATTTCAGAGGCATGAGCCATGGGCATGCAAAGCCACTGTCAGAAACGCATCACATTCAGGCGCTTCTTTTTGCTACCTTTCAAGAACTTGGAACAAAGAAAGAAATTGTCTGTCCAATGTGTAATGTGACTTCCACTCTTTCAGCTCCTGATGGTCCCCCGCTGGATGTCACCTTGCAGCCAATGACATCCCAAAGCATCCAGGTCACCTGGAAGGCAAGTATGTGTGTTCCATGCTTGAATGAGGGCGGGATCAGTGGTGCTTCTTATTTATTTGAACTGCGAAAATAACAGCTCATGACCAGACATGGTCCGTTGGCTGATGTGGTGCAGAAGGTGCTCTTGTCCTTTTCCCAGGAAACATGTTTGTGAAGGCTGGCCCTGGCCCTGCTCCTGTTTTGGAGCTCTGGGCTTTCACACCCGAGGCAATCAGAAAGGAATGAAATAGTGATGCAGCCCAGAGGGGGCAATGTGCGGGAGACCCTGTGGCTCTAATATTTAGCCCACCAGCTTTTGCTGCTGGCTTGTCATGTGCCAAAGTTTGTGGGGGTCACTATAGAGCCTCTGTTTCAGTCCTGCTGAACTGAAGAGCACTTACAAGAAGGCATTTGACTCCTTGGCACGTGATTGGATAATCAAATGCCTGGAAATAATAACAGTAGAAACATCAGAAGCTTTGTGCAAAGATCAACGGCACAATGGAAGACATGGTTGCTGGTCAATTATGATAGACTGGGAGAAGTTAATATCAAGAGAGGAGTCTTTCAAGGAGACTCACTATCACCAATATTATTTGTCATTGCACTGATTCCTCTTTGAACAATACTGAACAAATTAGGCCATGGCTATCAAACATCAAAAACCTCTACCAGGCTCTTCTACCTCTTTTATGTGGATGAGCTGAAGCTGTAAGGAAAAACATCACCTGAAATAGAATCCCTGCTCAGCACTGTCCAAATATACAACCATGAAACTGCAATGGAATTTGGAATGGACAAATGTACCATGCTTACCATCAAATGGGGAAACATAATGAAAGCTGAAGGAATCCATAAGGCCCTATGAAAGTAAAATCAAGAATCTGGATGAAACTACAAATACCTGGGCATCCTTCAAGCTCACAACATCAACCACATTGAAGTAAAGAAGAAGGTTAAACATAAATAACAGCATTAGAGTGAAGAAGATCTTAAAGTCCAAACTCAGTGGAGGAAATACTATCATGGCAATTAACATCTAGGTAATTCCTGTCATTAGATACACAGCTGGAATAGTAGACTGGACTTAAGCAGAACCAAAGGCCCTGGATAGAAAGGCCAGAAAAATAATGGCAATAAATCATGCCCTTTGTTCACACATTAGGTGTTGACAGACTTTACTTACCAAGGAAAATAAGTGAGCATGGAATGTTGCAAGTACACCAAACAGCTGAAGAAGAAAAATGGGCACTGGAAGAATCTTTGAAGGACAGTGAAGAAGATGCAGTGAAACGAGTATATCAGGAAGGCTTACCAAGTAGTACTGAAGAGACCAGACTGGCCTGCAAGAAAGACCAAATGAAGAATAGAAAAGAGACAATGCAAATATTACATGGCCACTACTTTAAAAAATTAGCGGGCAAAGCATGTAATAATAACACAATGGCTTATTACTGGCAATGGCTAAGAACAGGAAAGTTGAAGAAAGAGTCAAAGGAGATAATCCTGGCTGTTCAAGACTAAGCCTTAAGAACAAATGCATGCACAGCCAGAATTGAGAAGACAGCAACAGATTGCCTCTGCAAAGAAGCCGAAGAAACTGGACCACCTAGTTAGCTGCTGCAAAAAGATCATGCAGACCGAGTGCAAACAACGGCATGGCACAGTATCAATATTACAAGATCTGCAAGAAATGCCATTTGTCTGCAAGCAAGAACTGGTTGGATCACGAAATAGAAAAAGTAATAAAACGTAAAAATAGTGATCTGGGACTTTAGAATTCAAACAGACAAGCATCTGCTATAAAACAATCCAAACTTTACAATTGTTGATAAGAAGACAAAAAAGTTTGGATAGAGGACATGGCGGTATCTAGACACAGCAGAAGAGAAGAGAAAGAACTGGAGAAAAATCACAAAATATAAAGACTTGCAAATACAAGTAAAAAAACTGGCAAAAGAAAGCAAAGCACCAATATATGTTTTAGGTGTAATCCCAAAATATCCGGAGCGCCACTTGAACACCACTGGCATTGACAAAATCCCCATCAGTCAATTGCAAAGGCAGCTTCCCTAACCCTAACATTTAACACAAGGGTCCCCAGCCCCAGGCTGTGGCCCACTACTGGGCCTTCAGCCATTTGGAATCGGGCTGCGGAAGTGATGGGTGAGCATGCATGTGCACATCCCCACTTGTGTGAGCAACAGGTAAGTACGTGCATACATGGTCCAATGGTGTGAGAGGTGTGTGTATTTGCCTGCTGTGCATACAAATGGAACTGTGTGCGCACGCTTGCCCATGGCTTGCATGGAACCATTCCCTCTCCCCCCCCCCACTGCCGGTCCACAAAGCCAGAAACGTTGGGGAACTCTGCTTTAACACCCTCAAACAACATCTGCCTACCCCAGGTTCTTGGGAGGACTTGATAGATAAAAATGCTAAATCCAATCTAAACATCTGACTGACTATGTGATCGACCATAATAATAATTCATTAAATTTATATGCTACCTGACTCTCAGTGCCCAACTCCCAGTGACTCTGAGTGCTTATTTTGAAAATAGTTTTTTTTTTTTTTAAAAATATATTTTTTTAAATGCTGAGGAGAGAACTTTATTTGCAGAAAGTCCTTCATTTGAACGACTGGGTTAAATATCTGAGGCAGGGGCTTCCTTCTTGGCCTGCAAGGAACTCGCACACTATCTTAAGAGGAAGGTAAAAACAAGAGTGCTCTTAGCTCGTACTGAAACAAGCTGGCCTTCTTGATGGGGATCTTCATCTCAGAGCCCTTCCTTCCCAAGATGCTGGCAGAGTGCTGGAGAGGTCTTCCACCTGCCCACTTTTTCTGTTGTGTCCTTTTTTTTGGATCTGTACCAATAGGAAGACCAACTCTTCTGCCTTTCTCTATTGCCGGCTGGGATCCTGTCATCCAGAGCATGTGAATGTAAGGAGGGCAGGCTACATTGAAGGCCTGGTAGACTCTTGGGCCATTTGAACATGCCTGCGTATCCGTCAGTTGAAACTGGGGTGGGAATATAGACAGTTAACATTTAGGTGGTTGGGTAGGGGAATTACCCCCCTCTCTCACCCTGAACTTGCCTGCCAAGCTCTGACTTTTCCCTGAACTCTCTTCTCTATTTTTACTCCTCTTCTTTAAACGCCCATCTCCATCTCATAGGCCCCAAAGAAAGAACTCCAGAATGGGGTTATCCGAGGCTACCAGATTGGCTATCGGGAGAACAGCCCAGGAAGCAGTGGGCAATATAGCATTGTGGAAATGAAGGCCACGGGGGACAGTGAAGTCTATACCCTTGACAACCTGAAGAAATTTGCCCAGTATGGTGTGGTGGTGCAGGCCTTTAACCGGGCAGGCACCGGCCCCTCGTCCAGTGAAATCAATGCCACCACGCTGGAGGATGGTAAGTCTTCGCAATTTCTTGGCTGTTCAGCAGCTCTTGCATTTTATTTCAGTCCAGCCAGGCTTTCCTGCAAGATGGTACCCCTCCACCCAAAGCTGCTACTATCTTCCCAAAGGCAGCCCTGTTTCTGTTTTCCATACATAAGCTGATTTGTTTGTTTCATCATCAGAGGCAAAGATAATTGTTAGGAGAAGCATGTGGGCTCCCCAGTTGGGTTTTATTGTGCTCTGGGCATTTTTGGGTTCTGGGTGCCTGCAAATACTGTAGGTGGCAATTTCTCTGTGGGAGCTGAAATAAATGGTAGTCACCATTCTGTAGTGGTCACCATTAGGACAAGTGTGTGAGTGGGAGAGAGCAAGCTTTCCCTTCCCTTTTCAAGACTGGCACAAAATAAAATTCCTGACCTGGGATGCCTCGTCTCTCTCCCCAGTGTTAGTGTGACATCTGGAGGTGAAAGGGCCTGCACAGGCTGCCAGTCTGATTTTGCTGATTACAGGTGCCCTGTGCCCCTCCTTACCCCAAGGGCATCCTGGGCCTTCCTTGAATGCCACTCTGATGAGTGCCTGAAGTGTGCCATCCTTCAGCATCCCAGTCTGGACTGGCGAGGGTAACTTGAGTCTCTCCGGGGCTCCCTCGTGCAGCTGCCACCCTGTCTCCAGAGCTCTCCACCAACAAGGCAGAATGCAACAGGTGGCCTTGCCAAGGAGCAGCCCTGTTGTGTGTGCAACAGCCCTGTTTCCTCTGGGGATTTTCCACAGGTTTTCATAAGGGAGAGATCAGCACTTGGAAAACAAAATAAAAGTTTCTTCCTTATTGGTTCAGCAGTTTTTCATACTTAATTAAGGTCCTCATTAGCCTGTCAAAGCAGGATCATTTCTTGCCTAGATTAGCACTCCTCCTGGGGTATTCCAGGGCCCCTGTTTTAGCAATAGTGTTATTTCCCATAATTATATTACCTTCATTTTCTTCAAATGGACTCTCTATTAGTTTATAACACCAGCCCCTAATTACACCATGCATTCAGCTTTACACGTAAATAAACTGAAACAATCATCCTTTTCCGAGTGGATCATTAGGATGATATATCGTCATTTAAATGCTCATAAAAATTAGAGATCTCTCTTTGGGGGCAGCGGGCTCTCATTACCTCTACCCCAATCACTCGCTAAGTCTTTCCTTCTTCAAGCAACTGCACAGCCTTGTGGGTCTAGTGGAAAATGCCACGGCAGAAACCTCATCCTGGGACCCTGGGGAGCATGGATGGACTGGCAAATTAATCTGCCCACCTGTTTGAAGGAACAGCCAAGGTGCTGTGGCAACCAGGGGCATCCCTTTTAATGCATTTTCCTGTTCAGTTCCCAGCCAGCCCCCTGAAAATGTGAGGGCGTTGTCCATCACCTCCGATGTGGCCGTCATCTCATGGTCTGAACCCCCTCGGAGCACTCTCAATGGCATCTTGAAGGGCTACCGTGTCATCTTCTGGTCTCTCTACATGGATGGTGGTGAGTTGGGAGCAATTTGCTCATTGCCTCATTTATTTCATTTTCACTAATTGAATTTAGTGTAGCATCATATCTAGAGGGCAGAAGGCTGTTTTTCCTCCACCAACACATCAGATCTTCAGATGGTTCATGTCAGAAATGATGTTCTTCCTACCTTCCAACTGGATACTGGAGGCCAAGCTGGTACTGCCTGTCACTCAGCAGCTCTCACATCACTGCAGGATAAGGGAATTCAACTCCACTCTCCTTTGGGAACCTCTTGCAATTGTTTGCCTTCTTCTAGTAGCTGGCTCTTGCTGTGTTTGGCACAATGGCCCCAGCGCACTTTCTCAGGAATTCCTGGAGATTGCAATGCTCCCTGAACCTTTCTCCCGCTCAGTGCAAGCAAATAACAGAAGCAGTCACTTGGACTGTGGCAGAGAGCAAATTCCCTTTCTGAGCCCCACAGCCTCCCTCAGTTGAGTTTCTGGCAGTGAATCAGGCTCTGCGCAGGAGGTCCTGGGGTGTGTGGGAGGGTCTAAGTGGCCAGTGGTTCTCAATATAGGCCACAGGGGTCCCTCAGGCCATACCATATTATTATGGAGGTACAGTAACTTTCTGAGGTGGCCTCATCCTCACATAAATATTGAAATTTATTACTGTTTTACCTGATATGATATAGATTAGAGTAATAAACAGTACAGGTAGTAAATTACCTTTTGTTTCCAGAGAACAGTGACTGAGGGGTAGGTGTGTGTGTGTGTGTGTGTCTGTGTCATACAGGTAAACGAGGCTCACAAGGGGGCCCAAAAACTTTAGAGCAGCTTCTTCTTTCTTTGCTCCAACATGTAATGCAGACTTACTACTTTTGGGGATTCTATGGGCTGGATTATTAGGGGGCCTTTTAGGCTGTAGCAACAATTCTTTGCCTGTGTGCGTGAGAGCCCACGGGAGTGAGTGTGTGCTTCTTTCCACAGAATGTGGCTGGCCCTTGAAAGGCTTCCTCCACTGTTTTCGGGGACCTTCCCGTGCTGAACCTTGTGTCGTGGGGGTGGGGGGAAGCAAGCTGAAGATGGCAGGGCGGCATCTCTATGACAGGGGTTGCAGGGACACTGCTGCTGAGCTGGGTTCTGGCGTTGTCCATGTGCTGGATAGACAGTGGCTGCTCTGGCCCATTTTTGGGCCTTGGGGCAGCCGCCAGCCAGATCCCCAGGCTGCTTTCTCCATACCTGTCCTGGAGACTTGCTGGGCAAATCGAGCCACGGCAGGCTGAGTCAGGAGGCTGCGGAGGGTAGTGGGAGCCTTGCCTGCCTCTGCACGGGGTGTTCTTGCTTCCTGAACAGAATGGGGGGAGATGCAGAATGTCACCACCACTCGGGAGCGAGCAGAGCTGCGCGGCATGGAGAAGTTCACCAACTACAGCGTGCAGGTCCTGGCCTACACCCAGGCAGGGGATGGGGTCCGCAGCAACGTCCTCCACATCCAGACCAAGGAAGACAGTGAGTGCCTATGAAACAGGGTGGAGTGAGGTGGGGGCATCCGTTCCTTGCCTGTGCTCTCCCACTGCATCTGAATGGGGTGGGGGATCTGTCCTCTTTGGAGTGTGGATGATTCTGCTTTGCTATGGCTCCATGGGGCCCACTCTGGGGGGCTTGGGACTTTGCTCTTCCTCTTTTTCTCCCTCCCTCTGGAGTTGGGGAAACAAGGAGTTTTTCACCCCACGTAACCCAGTTATGTGGCCTGGTCTACTATCTCAGGGCAGCCCAAATCGCTGCAGTTCCTGGGCCTGGACCTCTGGTCTCTCTCCTGGGAGGAGACAGAGTGTCTTTTGGACCACAGGACAGAGTCAGGGGCTGCAGGGTGTTAGAGGCCCTCGAGAAGCCAGAGGGCCAGAAAGCTTGGAAGGAGGAGGCAGTACAGAGACCTACAGAGTCCATACGGGGAGAGCAACCCATTGAAGCATCAGAAAAGGCCCTCTGGAGCAGCCTGCCTTTTGGGCCCATCCCAGGGCACGAAAGGGGCGCTTCACCTGGGCTGCACTCTAGCGCTTCAGGGGAGGGGAAGTGTAGAGGTCAGATAAGTGCAGCCAGAAGGAACTGGGGTTTCTTTCTAGCTATGACATGATTTGAACGGTGGGCTGGATTGGCACTGGGGACACTCAGGTAAATCCCACCTGGATGGCGGCATTTCCAGGTGTGGGCTGGCCAGCTGATCCCTTCCAATAGCCTTCCACATGTGACAAGAGAGCGTTTTGCTGGAGCCCCATTTCCTTAAACCCTTGCTCTGCTTCAGAGGTGGGTTTCAGCAGGTTCTGACCAGTTCTGGAGAACCGGTAGTGGAACTTTTGAGCAGTTCGGAGAACCGGTAGTAAAAATTCTGACTGGTCCCGCCCCCATCTATTCTCTGCCTTCCGAGTCCCAGCTGATTGGAAGGAAATGGGGATTTTGCAGTAACTTTCCCCTGGAGTAGGGTGGGAATGGAGATTTTACAGTATCTTTCCCCTGCCACGCCCACCAAGCCACACCCACAGAACCAGTAGTAAAAATTTTTGAAACCTACCACTGCTCTGCTTGTCTCGGTTGGACAAGAATCTGCTGGAGACAGAATCCTTGTCCAGCTGGGCTGAGAGCAGGCTGCTGCCAGGACATTCCCTCTAATGGCAGAAGCTGCTGTAAAGAGAGAGACTGTTGTCCTGCCAGTGAGACCTTTACTGGCTGGCACAACTCGGGTATAAAAGAAGAGCGTTGTCCCCCCCTCCGGCAGGGTACTGCCATGAGTTGTGCTCCTTTGCTCCTGCGACGGCATGGCTGCAGTGCGGCCTACCTAGAGAGGCCAGGGCTGGAGGGAGGCAGGGGTGGGTTCTACTTACCTTTACTACCGGTTCGCAACAGGGCTGCACACGCACGCTCACTTTGCTCGCGCACTCTTCTGCACATGCACAGAAGCATTTTGATGGCGTCGGGGTCAGTGGGCGGAGCCTTCCGCCGGTTTTACTCCCGGTTCTATAGAACCGGTGCGAACCGGGGGCAATCTACCACTGGAGGGAGGCCTTGAGAATCATGCCTCTTCTTTCCTCTTGCAGTTCCTGGTCCTCCTGCCGGGATCAAAGCGGTGCCTTCCTCTGCCAGCAGCGTTGTGGTGTCTTGGCTGCCACCCTCAAAACCTAATGGAGTTATCCGGAAGTATACCATTTTCTGCTCCAGCCCAGGCTCTGGCCAGCCGGTGAGCAGCTGTGACGGGGTTTCTGGGAGAGTGGGCATGCCATAGTTGCCTGGCCACTGAAACAGCGGGTGCCAAGCACTGTCGGTCCCCTGGGCTGGCCTTGGGCAACTTTGCTCTGGGGATCCTCAGCCCGGGTTGTAATCAGGAACTGCCAGAAGCAGCCCTCAATTTGGTAGACCATCTCAGACTATTTTAGACACCAGGATGTGGTAGGAAAGAACAATATGATAATGGGTCAAACCTTTCTCTCATAGGGTTTTCTCTCCCTCCCTCCCCCCTCCTGCTATTGTTTCTCTTTTACCATATCCCATAGCTTATAGGCTGACAAATGTATCACTGCTTATTTTACAAAGCAGAAATAGATTTAAATGGCCAGCATTAATTTGTTAATTCAACTTAAATCCTGCCTAGTGGCTAACCCCAATAATGCACAAATATAGATTTAAAGCACAAGGCATTTAGCAACACACCAGTAAAAGTCAAGGATAAATGGCATTCATTAATGCCATTTAATGTAAGAGTTAAAACTTTGTCAAAATCACCTACTTGAGATATTCCTTTTCCAGTGGGGAGGGGGAAGCATCAAGTGCTGACTTCACCTGCTGCAGCGGGCAGGCCCTTCCCTGATGGAGAAAATCCCTTCCCTCAGGTCAGTCCGAGCAGGAGGGTGCTGAAAGGCTCTGGAGAGAAAAAAGTTCTTCCCTTCCTGCGCCACAGGGTGGCTGCCCTTTGGTCTAGACTGGCCATACACTTCTCTTACTTTGATAGCTGCAGGAGGTAGGATCAGTTAGGATGGCCTGTGCTAGGCCAGTATGGATCTTGTTGATTTTCAAGCCTGCTTTGCAAATTTCCCAGTGAATTGGCAGTCAATTTGACCTCCTGCTTAATTGAAGCATGATTACTTCCATGTCCTTATTGCAACAGCAGTCGGTTAAGGTTATCTCAACTGGGTTGGGTTGGAAGAAGTACCTTCAAGCCACGATGACCTGTTTTGGTTAGTCACATTGCAGATAAAATCACTCATAGCTTCTTGAGCTGGGCAATGACCAATGAGATGCAGAAATCCGTGCCTTGCAAAATCCTGTGGGATTCATTTGAACTATGAACCCCAAGAAAGTTGACAGGGTTTTCTGTGGGATGGACTCTGTCACATGTAGGCTAGCTCCTTGTCTCTCCTGGCTTTTCAGAGTTGCCAGGAGCAGATGATATGAGGAACTGGACGGCAAATGCCTTTTTGAAAGTGGGAATGGTATTGCCATGAAATGAGCATCTGCTTCCATCTCAAACTTGCCCTTCTTTGGGAAGATTATAGTGAAGGTGTTGGGACCCTGGGATGAAGTGGCTATGGATTCTAATTGAGCTTGGGATGCTCCATATAAAAGGGCTGTGAAGATGGCCTTCTCCTGTAGAGATTTCAAGGCAGCTGTCCTGATAACACCGGTTTCAAGTTTGATTTATTGCAATATGAGAGCTGACATATGATGGCTGTGACCCATCTTGTAATAAACAAACAAGCAAGCAAACAAACAAACAAATAAATAAATAACAGAAGTATCATCTACAGAACAGGCTGCTGCCCCTCTGGTCATTTGCTACTTGTGGTCCATGCAGAACACGGACTCCTTTATTCCATCTACTGCAGTTGCACCAGTGGCAGCAGCAACATGGAAATGGATGCAGCCCAGATCTTAGTTGGCCCCCAAAGCTTCCTGGGAACATTCAGGCTCTGTTAGGTTGGGAAGGAGGGCGGGGACAACATTTGCTTATCAAGATCGCTTTCTGCAGTTCATTTTAACATCTGAGGCCTTCGTTTCCAGGGCAACATAATCTTTTCATCAAAGCAACTGGTGAAGCTGCTGGGATCTGATATTGTTTCCTTGGCATCTTGTCAAGGCTGCCATTTGGCATAAAATTATGCATGCAATGTAATATTTATGCTTGCATATTTAAACACTGGTTAGATTTAAGTATTCTGCTGTGGATCTATCAGTCCATGTTCCAAGCATGCCAAACCAAAACTGTTTGGGCGCAGGGGTGAGGTATTTGTCTGCCAGTCAGGCTTGGCATTGGCCTTGATGGAGCTTCCGAGGCAGCTGCATGTGCCCATGAGTGGCAGCCTAGAGTCTGGAATGCAAGACTTCCCCAGGGAGGAGGAGGAGGAGGAGGAGGAGGAGGAGGAGGAGGAGGGGAGAGCCTGCTTTCCTCCTGACCCCAGAGAGGAGCCCAGATGCTGAGGACCTGAGGGCTTTGGGGTGGCTGGCTGGCCTGCTTGCCTGGTTCCACAGAGATGTGCCTCAGGCCACAGTTTAAAAGTGGTCCAGCCAGGCAGCTTGGATGCTCCATCAACCCAACAATCGGTGCAAGTCCCAGCAGCCTGAAGCCTCCCTTGAACAGGCATTTCCTCTGCTTGCCCCAGATCCATCTTGCAGGAGTCAGAAGCAGTGCATGCCGGGAGTTGTGAGTTGTATAATAGGACGACAAACACACAAGTAGGCACCATCTGCTAGCTCTAGGGCAATAATGTAAGCCTTGTGTTCTGATGGCCCAAGAGACAGGGTGAGGTCCAGCCTCGGAGCTGAGGTCTGAGATATTTCCCCTTTTAGCTTCTTAAACGGCAGAGATTGGGGCTTTATAAAAGAGCCCAAGTTAGAGGTGAAAAGTGAAGTTGCTCCTATTTTTTGCTTAAAACAGAAACAGGAATCCAAAAGTGTGTAGCTTGAAGAAATGGAGAGCAAATAATAAACTTGGTCCATTGGAGGAAGAAAAACCTATCTGCACAAATGTATGAGCTCTTGTAGAAGTTGAGGAAAGCGCTTAGGGAAAAGCCTTTCTCCTAAGACCAGAAAGCAGGGGAGTTGCTGAGATTTGGACAGACCAAGAAGGAAGTGAAGGTGTATATTAATGAGGGCCCTAAGCCTGAGATAGGCAAATTTAGCAATGGCTCAGGGGTTGCTAATGCTGCCTCCAGGGATACAGGCCTGTGGGGGCAGCTCTTTGGGTAGGTGGGCTCCCGAGAGGCCTCCGCTGGGCAAGCAGGAAAGCAGTCTGATCCAGCTGCAGGCCTGTTCTCCTTCGGTTCTTCTGCAGGCTCCCAGCGAGTATGAAACAAGCCCGGAGCAGCTGTTCTATCGCATCGCACACCTGAACCGCGGGCAACAGTACCTGCTCTGGGTTGCTGCTGTCACTTCCGCAGGGCGGGGCAACATGAGCGAGAAAGTCACCATTGAGCCTGCTGGAAAAGGTTTGCAAGTGGAACGGGGAGCGCCTGGTAGCTCGGCTGCCGTGGACCCCCCACCATGTCACCCTCCCCTTCTTTTGCAGCTCCAGCCAAGATCATCTCATTTGGGGGCACAGTTACGACCCCGTGGATGAAAGATGTGCGACTGCCATGCAGTTCAGTGGGGGATCCTCTCCCAGCTGTGAAGTGGACTAAAGACAGGTTTTTTTTTTTAACCAAAGGGAAGAGGGGGCTAGGAAGGTCTCTGGCCAGACTCTGCCTTTCTCATGTTCAGGTCTTCTTTTGCAGTGATGATTCAGCTATTCCAGTCATTTTGGATGGTCATCGCCAGATCCAGTCCAATGGCACCCTGATTCTGCGCTCTGTGAAAGCAGAGGACTCAGGCTATTACACTTGTACTGCCACAAATACCTGGGGATTCGATACCATCATTGTCAACTTGCTGGTGCAAGGTGAACCATTAGAAGGAATCCCCCCGCCCCCCAGGAGGGAGCTTTGTCTTTAGGACAGGGAAGCTGGACAGCTCATAGCCCAAAAGACTTCCTAACTTCCCTGCCCCGGAGTGCCGGGTGAGAAGGAAGCTGACCCAAATGCCTTTCCCTTTCAGTCCCTCCAGACCAGCCCCGGCTGATGGTGTCCAAGACTTCAGCTTCATCTATCACCTTGGCCTGGATCCCTGGTGACAATGGTGGTAGCTCCATCCGAGGCAAGTTGCAGGGAGGGTTGCTGTGCTTGCTGGATAGATGGAGGAAGCTTGACTGTTCCTGGATGTCTCCTCAACTTTGTCTCCCCTTCCTTCTCTGGGTTTCGGCCTCGTGCAGGGTTGTGCTCTTGGTCTTCTGAGTGCAACTGCCTCATGTTGCTGGGTCCAAAGATTTACCAAGGGAGGCTGATATTGGGTGAAGGCATTCTTTTGACGAGCACTAAATGGCTCCTTGGCTCTGTGAAAGATTCCTCAGAGCTTCATCTGAGGGGTTTTTTTTTTTTTGGTGTGTGTTTGTGTAGGGGGGGGGGGGGGGGGGGGGGGGGGAGGGAGAGAGAGAAAAGATGGGAAAAGCTCCGAACAGTTCCAACTGCAGTTTATTTAGGAAAGCCAGGGAAGATCAGGCCATTCCTTCTTACCTGTGCTCAGTTTTCTTGTGCCTCCCCAACCAGCTTGTTTAGGGAGGAGGAGGAACACCCTATCCTCCATTTTTATTTCACAACAGGGCTTTAGTTTGTTAGAGTTGAAAGGTAGCAGCTGGTGCAAGATCACCCTGGAATCAGTGAAAATTCCAAGAGGCATTTCCCCGGTCTCAGCCTGATTCCTGGCGTGAAGCTGTGTGTCAGTGCTTCTTCATCCACTTCAATGCCCTCAGGGAAACAATGGCAGCCCCAGAAGGAGGGAGGGAGGGAAGGAAGGGAGTTTTCACATTGCAATTAATTAAACACATGGAAATAATTACAAGGCAGCCTCCCTAGCCAGCAGCATTTGCTTGATGTGTTTCCTTTTAATTGAAACAGCCAGAAGTGCTGCGGTGCAACTGATGGGGGTAGAATCCCCTGCCTGGACTGCTTTATTGTTTGGTTGGGGGCAGTGGGGGAGTATGGCTTCCAAGAGGAGCAAGCTGGCGAGCAGCAAGAAAGCCAGAAAAAGGATGGGCACGGAGCAGCACAACTGCAGGAGCCCAAGAGGCTGATTTCTACTTCATGGCGCATGTGGGGGGGATAGGTGGGAGCACGTCCCCAACTGCCTGAATGGATCCTTACCTCTCTCTCTGGCACAAGCACACAAGCGCAGGACCCACACCTCTCCTTGATGACATGCATAGGTGGGCCCTGAAACAGCTTGCACCTTTTTGTTTGATGGTGCGTTTTGTAACTGATTAGCTTTGCTTAAGTGAGCTCTGAATTTGCCTTTTGCAAAGGGAAGATGGCTGTCTAGAAGGCTGGGCATCCAATAGAAGATTTGCCATGTCTTCCTTTGGAGAAGACACCTGGCTCTCCCAGGCGTGGGGGGAGGCTTCAGGGACTTAAGCCTGAGCTGCTGGCATGAACTGGGGGGTGAGGAGATGGCAGGGGCTCCTGCCGCATGGACTCCCTTCTCTCACTTGCTGCCTTTGCTGCACCCCTGCAGGCTTTGTGCTCCAGTACTCAGTGGATAATAGTGAGGAGTGGAAGGACGTGTTAATTGCTTCCGCAGAGCGCTCCTTCAAGCTGGGCAGCCTGAAATGCGGGACCTGGTACAAGGTGAAGCTGGCAGCCAAGAACAGCGTTGGAGCTGGTCGTATCAGTGAGATCATTGAGGCCAAGACCCACGGCAGAGGTGACTGGGGCCTGGGGAGGCAGCCGGGAGTGTGTAGCTGGGAGGAAGGACGGAAGGAAGGGAGCCTTGCAGAGTGGAAGTTGGGATTTGTCCAGAGGAAGACCGAGAGGCTTTCTTAGAGTTCACTAGGAAGGAAAGACTTCAGAGAGGGAAATTGTGGTTCCTGCACACTTTTAACAAGTGGTGCATAACAATGCCATCCATTCCGATGTTCTCCTGGCTGGAGCTCATCTGAAAAAGGAAAGGCCTCTTGTGGCAGTATTTCACCCTGGCCTCCTAAGGGACTCGTTTTAAACAAGGCAGACAAGTTTATTATAATGGTTTGCAGCCAGCACCAATGGTTTTGAAGATTTGCCAATTTCAGGAATGCCAGAGACAAGTGCATCACCTGAAGCCTAATTGAAATATTACACTCATCGAGTCGATTGCAAGTTTGGTGGTGTTCTTAGCTGGACCATTTAGAATCAAAGCCTTCTTGTAAATCTTCTTGTATTAAGAAGATCTCCTAATGAATGCTCCTTATGGAAGAATCCTGAACACTTTTCCCTTTAATTTTTGCCATGAGGTTGTATGTAGAAAAAAAATTGTGTTGCTTTTCCCAAACCAAGTTCAAATTTGTGCACCACAATAGAATAAAGGAGGTTGTTGCAAATACATATAATAGCAGTATGTTAAAATGTTTGAGTATTTCTTGGTTAAAGTATAGAAACTAGAAAGTATAATAGTATGCCACACGTGTCACATGCTTAAAAGTTATGCCTTCACGTTATACATTACTCTGCAGTTCTCTTGGCAGCCTTTTTCACACATGCTTTGCCCCTTCCTTCCTCTCAGGTCAGAGATATGGAGCTGCTTTGGGCCCGGGGGGGGGGGGGGGAGGAATGACAGTGGGGGAAGGTTTCTAGCCTGGTGCCTTAACTATATAGCAAACTGATTCTCCATGTACATGTGTACAATTATAATATAAACTCAGAAGTCACTGATATCTGACAATTGCAATGTAAGCACTTAGGATTATTTCCCTTGGGGGGAGGATTGAAATTAGAAAAGGCATTTAGATAGGCCCCTCTCTTTCTCTCCCCCCCCACCCCCATTTTTCCTTCTTTTCTGGAGATATTTTGAACATTTCTGAACTTCAATTACTAATGATTTAAAATTAATTTTTATATAGCTAGAAACCAACATGGATGTTGTGCAGCCTGCAACTCAACAAATATTAATTCAATCTTTTTTGGCGGGAGGAGAGAAATTAATTAACCCCTTTTTTAGAGTGGGGAGGGAGGTGATCCTTTGTGAGGAAGGGCCTCTGGTGTTCCATTGGGTGTATCTCTGCAGCAAGTCAGCTGCCACTGCACAGCTGGGAAAGGGCAGCTGTCTTGAGGAGCCTGGCCAAAGGGAGCCCCAGCCCAGACTGGCAGACAGCTCGTGGAGAGCACTTTGGGTGCTCTGGGTTTTATAGTGCCTAAATTGATGATGATGGTGATGAAAAAGAAACTTAATGTATGCTCTACATTTTATTGATTAGCGGGTTAGGCAGTACACTTTAAGGGAACATAGGTCATTAAAGAAACCCTTGAGGCCACTTTCCAGAACCCGGCAAACTGCTCTATTTCATTCTATTCTATCCTATCAAAACTCACCTTCCTCTTCCTTCTTGTAGAACCATCTTTCAATAAGGACCAACATCTGTTCACCCACATCAACTCCACCCATGCCAGACTGAGTCTGCAAGGCTGGAACAATGGGGGCTGCCCCATTGTAGCAATTGTCCTGGAGTTCCGACCCAAAAGCACCTGGGTTTGGCAGAGTCTGCGGGCTAATTATTCCAGTGAAGTCTTTCTGACTGACCTGCACGAAGCCACTTGGTATGAACTGCGCATGAAAGCATGCAACAGTGCCGGCTGTGGCAATGAAACCCTGCAGTTCGCCACCCTGGACTACGATGGCAGTGAGTATGGATTGGCTGGGGGATGTTAGAAGCCCCAGTTGCCTGTGGGTTGGGCTTTTTCAGGGGGTGCACAGCTTGTGCTTTGACGTGTCTTCTGCACAGGCACCATTCCGCCTATTAAGTCTGCGCAAGGGGAAGGAGATGATGTCAAGAAGCTTTTCACCATCGCTTGCCCTGTCATCTTGGCCACACTTGGCGTTGCGTTGCTGTTTGTTGTTCGAAAGAAGCGGAAGGAAAAGCGCCTGAAGCGTTTGCGAGGTGAACGCTTGATTCTTGGGAATCCCTTTACAACAACCAGGAGAGAAACCCCAGGGTCAGATGAGCCTAAGCAGGCGTCACCCTGGCTTTCCCCTCTAGATGATTCGGTCCCTGTAGCTGCCTAGGTAGGTGGGTTGGGGGCAGAAAGGTGGATGCTGCAGGATAGGACCCTCGTTAGAGCTGGCAGTATGGATAGTCCTTGACCTACAACCACAGTTGGGACTGGACTGAAATATTCTTGGTTAACATTGCAGCCATTAAGTGAGGCTTTCCAGGACCGCACCTGGTTTTACAGCCTCTTTTGCTGCATTCGTTAGGGAGCATCACATGGTCATGATTTGCAACCTTCCTTGCCAGCTTCCCCACTGACTTTGCTTGTCTGAAGCTGGCTGGGACGGACACCAATGGCAGGACGGGAGGCTGCAACTTGTCAATTTGCCAAGCCCCCAAATTGCAGCCGGGTGACAATAGGGATGCTGAGACGGTCGTAAGTGCAAATACTGGTCATAAGTCACTTTTCCAATGCTGTCATCACTGAAGGAATGCTGGCAAGTTGAGACTACCTGCACGGGCTGCACTCCTCTTTGTTTCTCTGTGAACTTGGGGCCCCGAGGAAACTATTTCTGGAGCCTCTTTCCTTTAGCCTTAGCTCCCCATAGAGAGGACCCACCCTCCAGGCTAGAGTGCCCACGGTGACCTCTCGGCCTGATTCGAGCTGCACAGGAGCAGCTGCTTCTGCTGCCTCCATTCAGGCCTCTCTGCTCTTTCCCTTGCAGATGCCAAGAGTTTGGCTGAAATGCTCATCAGGTGGGTAACCACATTCAAATCTTGTTGGTTTAGCATTTTGATGCAGGGTGGATACAGATGACCTCAAGTCCCAAATGCTCTCCTCCTTCTTCTCCTTCACAGTAAGAATAATCGTAGCTTTGATACGCCCGTGAAGGGTCCTCCGCAAGGCCCTCGGCTGCACATCGACATCCCCCGGGTTCAGCTGCTCATTGAGGACAAGGAGGGAATCAAGCAGATCGGTGAGCGGCTTTGCTTCACCTACCAGTTCAGGGGTCTGGCCTTGTCCTCAGAGCTGCCTCCTTTGCATTTTGCCCTCATCCAATTACTCTCCCTGGGTCTGGGAATGGGGTTGCTCCTCTGTCCTAGGTGCACTCCGGGTTCTCCCCTTCCCAGCATCAACTGGATTGAATGGTGTTTTGGGACTCCTGGCAAGCATTTTGGGCATGGCCAATTGCAGGTGCCGGCCTTCCTCTCCACCCCCAATGAGGCTCTAAGTGCATAAAGGGTCACCCTCCAATTCTGTGGTTTTCTCTTGCAGGAGGGGTGGGGGGTGGGGGCTATCGCTTTATAGCAATCCCAGGATGGCAGGTCATTATCCAAATTTATTTCCCATAGGAGATGACAAAGCAACAGTCCCAGTCTCTGACCCAGAATTCAACCAGACTGTTAATCCGCAGACCTTCTGCACAGGGGTATCGCTACACCACCCAGCACTGATCCAGAATACGGGGCCTTTGATCGATATGTCTGACATCCGCCCTGGCACAAGTAAGCCTTGCAGATAATCCTCCACTCCGGCCCCACAGGAAAAAAATCAGAGGCCTTTGCCCAAGCAGAGCATACCTCTGAAGGCATGGAGGGAGGGAAGAGATCTCTGGGGGACTCTTGACCCTACTTGTAGCCAAATTCTCCGTCTCTAGGTAAGGTTGGGTTTCTCACAGCAACCAGCTCTGATAAAAGAGGCTTTGAATCATGTGGCTATGTTCATCTATACTGATAGTGCTGGAACAGTGAGGTTGTGAGAACTTGACCATTTATGCCTTTAGCTGCAAAATAAATGCACTGTGGTTTGGCACGTGACCAGACTATAGTCTGCTTTTAGTGATTTCAGGTCTTGCCTCCCCAAAATTTAGAGGGATCGAATGAACACTGGTCTGTCTGGCCCTTCTCTGCCCTCTGATGATCCTATACAGCCTGCATGCCAGTGCCTGCTTTATCTCCCGTATGCTTTGCTCAATCAGGTGGCACACCAGTCAGCCCCATAGCTGCCCCTCTCCTGCCTGACTGGTTCATCTCCTCCAGCTGCTCAGCACTTACCTGTCCCTCATCTTGTCAGGGTTCCTGCCCTCGTACAGCAATGATTTTGTGTTCTGCTTGCTGCTTTGGTCAGAGAATGGGCTTTCTAGGTTCAGGCCAAGTCCATGTCTTGATCCGTGTCATGCTCCATCTCATATGCTGCATGTGACATATTCAGTACCTGGAATGTTGTATACATCCCACCATGACTATATGCAAAGGGGGGGGGGAATGATCTACAAGTACAAAAAATCATTTTAGATACAAGGCATCACCAACATAAAAATGAAGCTATGAGTGAGAAACTACAGCATGAGGCAGATTTCAGCCTAGCCTTGTAAGGTCCAACCTACACAGTTCTCATTTCTCATTCCAAAGTCAGAAACAGCAGCCATCTTCTTTTGCAGATCCTGTTTCAAGGAAAAGTGTGAAATCTACACACAGTGCCCGGAACAGATACTCCAGCCAGTGGACTCTCACCAAGTGCCAGGCCTCCACGCCAGCACGGACTCTGGCCTCTGACTGGAGAGCGGTTGGCTCCCAGCATGGCATCACAGTGACTGAAAGTGACAGTTTCAGTGCTAGTTTGTCCCAGGACACAGGTGAGTTGAGTCACAAAGCCCAGCCTTTCAAACCCAGCTGCAGTTTGTTGTGTCCTGCCACCCCAGAACTTTCAAGAGCTAAAAACTGAGGCTCACTCTTCTTTCCTCATATTTTGCAGAGATTTTATTTGGTTATTATAATTTATATGCATACCGAGAAACTAGATTCTTAAATGGTTCTACAAAATAGCACATTCAATTAAAAACAACAACAATTATAACATAAACTGGACTAATTCTACCAATAGCTACCACCCCCTTTCATACATCATCACAACAAGGAATGTTACTCAGTGTCTATTATACATTAAAATATCCAGATCTAAGTAGCTCTTCTGAACACTAGCAGCTTGTTGATCTGAATTCGGGGGCAGGATCAGGAGAGGGGCAGCAAAGAAAAAGTCATCCATCCTTCATGGTGCCTTATTCTTGGGTTGAAAGGGTACCCTTTCTGTTGGAGATTAGTGAACAAATAGAAGCTTCTGGGAGAGTTCATTGCAGGAATTAAGTCAAGAGGTGATAAAGAAATAAGTAGCTGTGAACAGATACTTATAATCCAGGAAGTGCTGTAACTAGCATGCGAGATAGAGTTGCACAAAAACTCTCCTAGCCACAGCAGCCTTCTGGTCCTTGAGCAGTTGTTGCAAATCCAAGAGGACCCCCTTATTTCTGAAGCCTTTCGGGTTTAGGGAGCACGACCCTGTCCAGAAGAAAAGATGGGATACCACTGGCTTCCAATGTCACATCCACTCATGTCTTGTCAGGATTGAGCTTGAGTCTGTTTATTTCTGCCCAGATCTTCAAAGACTCTAAGATAACACTTCCACCACATCTTCTCTTTGGCTTTGGAGTCAGAAAGTGCAGGAACTGGCTTCTCGCATCCCCGGCTGTTTCAGCTTAGTAAAGGAGAGTTGGAGTGCCATCAACTGTCTTGCTGGTTGTCCTGGCAGGGCTTGCATTGTCTCCCTCTTGTTCCCACAGACAAAGGCCGAAACAGCATGGTGTCCACAGAGAGTGCCTCATCCACTTATGAAGAGTTGGCTCGGGCTTATGAACATGCCAAGTTAGAGGAGCAGCTGCAGCATGCCAAGTTTGAAATCACAGAGTGCTTCATTTCTGACAGCTCCTCTGACCAGATGACCACTGGCACCAATGAGAATGCTGACAGCATGACTTCCATGAGCACTCCCTCCGAGCCAGGCATCTGCCGTTTCACAGCCTCTCCTCCCAAACCACAGGACAGTGACCGTGGCAAGGGTGTAGCTGTGCCTATCCCTCACCGAGCAAATAAAAGTGAGCTATGATGCAGCTGCTGCCTTTTGGTGCCCCAAACGAAGAGCTCAGCCCCAAGTAACAATAGCAATTATGCTTGTATACTGCCCCGTAGCACTTATATATTGCCCCAGGCACCCTCTGGGTGGTTTACAATGTCAGCATCCTGCCCCAGCAATCTGGGTCCTCATTTTGCTGACCTCGGAAGGAGGGAAGACTGAGTCAACTTTGAGCCAGTCAGGATCAAACTCCAGGCTGTGGGCAGAGTCTGCCTGTGATGATGCACTTTAGTCACTGTGCCCCCCAGGGCTCTTGATTGCAGCTCTTCATGAGGCAGTTCAGGACAGGCTTCCCAGTGAAGTATTTGAATGAGCTTGGATAGTGGAATAGGATGTGCTCTGGGCAAGGAAGAGCTACACAACTTTCAAGTTAGGTAGCCAGAGCCAGTCTGAGAGGTTTATAAATGGGGATGATAAGGCTTGCCCCAGAGAGCTGGCATCTGGAGGGGATGCCGAGAGGGAGTGCTGGCACTTGCCAGTCATGGAATGGGCTGGATATTTAGGCTTCTTTCACCTGCTTTGCCTTTTCCCTGAAGGAGTTGCTTGTTTTCAGTGGACTGGATGAATTTTTCACTCTGGTCCTGTTGCACACCATTTGTCCTTGAGTAACCTTGGGGCTACTCCTGGCCCCGCTTTCAGCATCTCTGTTCACCCTCTTTCTGCCTTCTACAGGTGACTACTGCAACCTGCCTTTGTATATGAAATCTGAAACGTTCTTCCGCAAGCCAGACCTTCAAGACCCTTGTCCTGTAGTGCCACCCCGGGAAGCCTCCATACGAAATCTGGCTCGGGCTTACCACACACAAGCCAGACACTTGACTTTAGATGCCAGCAGCAAAGCCTCGGCTGCGCCACACGCAACTGCAGCCACCACCTTACCTCAGAGAACTCTTGCCATGCCAGGCTCGGCTAGTGGTGCCCCTCCTGCTGCTTCCACTGCTGCTCCCGCCCCGGCCCCCGAACCTAGCCCGGGTCCTGTTGCTGAGCCACGCTTGCCTACGCATAGCAAGATTGGGGGGTCCAAAGACTCACTATTAGAAATGAGCACATCTGGCGTAGGGAGGCCACAGAAGCAGGGAACTGGTGCCTACTCGAAATCCTATACGCTGGTGTAGCAGTGGGTAGGAAGGACAGCCAAGATGTGGCTCTTTCTCCAAGTCATTTATACTGGAATTAAGTGGAGCTCTTGTACAGAATGGATTTTTTGTTTTTGTATAAATGAAACTATTTTTCTCTTCTCCAGAATTGGGGGGGAAGTCACGAGGGCTCCAAGCATTTGCAGGAACTTCTTTTATGGAAGAAGCCCTGCTCTCCTTTCGGTGTTGCGGAAGAGGGTGCTGAATTCTGATGGGCACATGCTCTTTCCCATCCTCTCATCGCCCTCATTACGCAGCCTGGTTTTTTTTTGTTTTTTTTTTTAACCCTTTGAGACACTGCATGTTGTTTTAATGTTTGGTAAACCATGGGATTTGCTTCCAGTTGCATCTGCCTGTGTTAATACTTTTTTCTATTTAAAAAAAAAAGCCAGCGCAGTGTGCAATAAAAGTTATGTTTCTATAACACCAGAGTCCTTTGTTTGGTGTAGGCTGATCTCCAAGAACCAACAGGGAGCTGCGATGCAGGTGGCAGTGGCAGCTTTGTGAGAATAAATTCTGGAGTCCTAGTGCAGAGGCCCTGCAATCCAAACTCTGTTTTAACATGAATGAAGCCGTTCTAGGAAATGTCAGACATAAAGCAGATCATTATTTTATATATACATCTCTTTGGCATCACAGCTATTTAAAAGCTGTAATGTCTAATATGACCTTTTAAAGTGCCATTTTCCTTTCCTCACCACAGGAAATAAAATATGAATTGTCAGACAGGGAGAGACTGACCAGCATGCTTCCAGTTGATCGAGACCCTCAAATGGTTTTTAGTAGGGCAGGTTCAGGCGGGGAAGACCTTGCATCAGCTCCCCTGGTTGGCAAGGAGTTTCAGCCCAGGCAATATTCTACCTTGCCTAGCAGAGGGTAGCAAGTTCATCACTAGAGTATTTGTTTTCCCTTCCAGGTAGCCTTTGTCTGAGCAAGTGAACTGTTTACTGCAGGTGCCAGGAGTAAAGATAAACATAGCAGCTGGCTCCGTTGGATCGCTGCTTGGCAAATCTTCTAGCAGCTCAGAAAGAAAGCCCCCTGCCTCAGTAGGGAAGGATCATCCGAGCACCCCAAGGTGCCTTCCTCTCAGCAGCGCAGGAGCCAGTGTCAGATGGGCAGCCATGTTACTACCGCTTCTCTTTCTGTTCATATCGGAGCTGATTATGGTGAGGAACCAAGAATAGCAGCAGCAAAACATGTTTTGTTCAAGACATGTCTTGGAATGCCTCCAAAGAATTTTCTGCCATGCTAGGGCAGAGGACCAGGTAAGCAGAGTGAGCAGGTTGGGCGGGGGGGATGCGATTCCTGTAACAGCATTGGCCGAAAGAAGGAGCTGGTTGTAGGAAATGCCTGGAGGAGGGGGAGGGGGAGGATCTCCCAGATCTTCTTTCCAAACAAATCCAGCAAGCAGAGTTATTAGAAAGCTCACACTGATTGGCTCGGGGGAGGGGGGGCAGTGATTAAAGTTTTTAATTAAAACTTGTCAATTGTTAATATGGGCCAACAGACATGATACATGTATAACGCAGATGCCACGTTTCATTGTTTATGGCAAGGGAGCTGCCCCCAAGAAGATGCTTTGGTACTAATACTCCATAACCATAAGGCACTCCCATGGCTTTTATTTTCCCATATATGGATGCCATGGCCCCTGGCTGACAATTCTGGGTTCAGTTCCCAGCAGATCTTACAGCTCTAGGAATTGAGACACTTCTCCTTCCTCGATCCCCTTTACTAGCCCCCATGGATAGTTCCAGACAACATTTCCTAGAACATGCTGTGGCCAAGGAGGGAATTCAGTAAGGAAGTGTAACACGAGGGTAGCAATTATCAGCATGAGACGAACTTGCGCAACTCATCAATGTTTACATTGCAAAGGTGTCCATTTCCAAATACAGTCCTGGGAGTTTCAGGGCCAGTTTCCAGAGGCAAAGAAATGCTGCCCCTAACACATGGGCAGCAATGCTGGCCTAAAGCGATCAGCAGTACTGAAGAGGAGCCTCGAAGTGGCTTGTCCATGTGCTTCTCTACCAGAGCTCCTTTTTGACATGACAAGCAGCAGCCTCAGGACAAGAGACACGGCACCACCTGCCATCTTAGCCAATTAGACGGCCACACTGGAAGTTGCCAATACTCCACAACTCCCTGCCACCATGCAAGACGCGGTGGCAACCTTCTAAGCAGAGGGCTGGGCTGGGAAAGAAGCTGGTGGCACATCAGTACAAAGACCTGAAGGCTGTTATAGGGGCTCAAATTCCATGGCCCCTAGCCGGCTTGTACTGCTGAGATGTAACATGATGCTGCACAGTGATATGCCTGCAGCTAACTCCATCATTCCTTAGCAAGAGGATGCAAACAAACACCCTCCTTACTGTGCATCTGATCAAAGGGACGGATTCACCAGGATGCTCCCAGCATGGGATGGAATGTTACGACCAGCCGCTAATGGTGCGGTGGGGCTAGCTCTCACTGAATGGCCTGCCTAGAAACCTCCCGTTTCGGAACCTCCAATCTTTATTCATGAGGCCTTAGGGAGGTCACATTCCAATGGTGCCCACTAATAGAAAGCCCACCAGGGGAGAGGGAAAGGGGTGGAGGGGTAAGAATTAGGCATGGAGCAGAAGGCACAGGAATCTGCTCAGCATATAATCCCTGGAAAGCCCACCACCATTTACACTCCAATTACAAAAGGCACCAGAAAAATCTGGCTGAAGCTGATCAGCTGGATATCCAGAGAGACACACTTTTCTCCTAGCAATCTCCATGATTGCCTCTGCCTTGATTAAGGAATACAGCAGCTCACAAAATAATATCGAAGCAATGCAAATGTGAGCCATTTTAAAATCTTCCTGGAGAAAAATCTTCCTGACTGCAGCAAGGAAAAAGCAAGAAAGTCATGAAAGGTGTAGGAAATTGAGTACATTTGATCAGAATTTAAAAGTACAGTTAATAACTGAAGGATGCACACCACCAATTCTCTGCTATCATATGCATTTCATTTATTGGAAGGGCAACAAAAGTCCTTCCAGTCCTGTATGACCTTTCTCCTGTAAGGACAGGAGAAAAGCTGCTCTGCCTGCCCCACAATGGAGAGGCCCGAGACCACTTGTAGCACCAGCCGTGGGGGAAGGTGGTTTCTGCTGCCTGTTTAGACACATGGTGATCATTGTTTAAAAAGCAACCCTGGAGATCAGCGGTCCAGTTGAAAACAGAAGTGGGGGAGGGGAGGTTGTTGAGAAATTTAGCTTTCTTCTGGCAGCTTAATCAAAGGATATACCAACCATTTGCAAGGAAGAGTACATTGGGCCATTGCCTGCTCTCATTTTCCCCAAATTGCTGTTTACCTTCTGGTGTTGGTGAGAGCACTGAAGAATATGCCCAATGAGTGCCATGAATATGCCACCAATGCTCCTGACAAGAGCAGGTCAGGCACACGAGCCCTTAGGGAAAGGATAGAAACCAGGAGTAGAAATGAACTCCCAGAATCCAGAAGCACCTGGGGAACTGGACTTGCTCATGACCTGCTTCAGCCTCTGCAAAGACTGATTTTGTAGTTCATATTCCCAGTTGCTTCAGGAGCAGAAACACTTTGCCAGTCCCCTCAGCAGCCATACCTGAACTGAGGATTCTGTGGTGTGGAAGGTGACAGTGGAAAGAGGAAGCTGAGCAAGAGATAGGAGAAGACCCAGGTGTTTCAGATGGGCCCTTTGTTTCTCTGGTTCCCTAAGTATGGACAGGTAACCTACCAGCCACCTTTCTCCATTCAGCACACACTTCTTTCTCTTTCACATTTATGACATTCCCTGGGATGGATAATCTACAAAAAGGCTTGAATTAATTTCCCAAGAGAAATTTAGCTAAGAATCAATCTCTGACTGCAACGCAAGAAAACACGTGGAGGCTGTTGGGTACAGAGATAATAATATATATTGTTGTTTGACAGGTAGGTAAGCTTTTTGCAGACAAGCAGGATTTTTGTCCATCTAGAAGTGGTAGACCTTGATCTGATTGTTCTCATCCAACCCAAGCTGCACCAAACCGGAGCCACTGCTGGAGGAATGCGAAGGACTTGGCAAAAAAGAGCTGGCAACTTGAGTGAAGGAAAAGCATAAGAACATGGCGGCAAAAACCGGAAAGGCACGAATGGGTGGAAGCACACTGGCCACAGCCAGACCTGGAAGAGAATTCCCCTTGAAAGGATTTTTTTTTTAAAAAAAACTGGGCTTTCTATTGCCATGCAGCTGGTCACAGACTGAGTTGGAGAGATACGTTTAATTAGGAAGATTCAGAAAATCAGGATTAATCTGATTCTCCCAAAAAAATCAGGATTTACCTGAAGCAAACAAAGAGTCCACTAAATCACTCAGAAGCAAATCTCTCCTAACAACTCAGGAGAAACTCGGAGAGAACTATGGTCTACAAAGGAATGTAGAATAGAGTCCTTCCACCCGTGTTATCTGCCCTATTAGGAAATCAGCATGGCCAAAAAATCCCTCGCAAAACAAAACTAGAAATTGAGTGTTCTGGAATGGCCAAGTCAAAGCCCAGATCCAATTGAAATGCTGTAGGTAATTTAAAGCAAGCTGTGCATGGCATGAAACCCCTAAATCATCACACAAGTGAACAAATTCTGCATGGAGATATGGAGAAAAAATCCTCCTAGTCAAAGCCAGAGGCTGGTAGACAGTCTACTTGAGGTTCTTTCTGCCAAGCGGAGGAATACCCACTATTGGAGCCAAAGATGCACTTCCCATTTCCACTGAGGGAAATCTCTTAATTTTTAAATGACTGACTGCAAAGTCAAATTTTCATTGTTTCTTTGTTCAACTATATCTACAGGTTGAACTATGTTGAAAAAGATAAAATGTTCAGTGGGGTGTGCTTATTTTTTCACATCACTACAGGATTTTGAGAGAAGGGAAGGATGCACAGCTTTGTTTTCTATAGCTTAATGAGAAACTTGATGATTGAAGTTTGAATCAGATTGAACAAATCTGATTGAAAATGAGGTCAAGAAACAATCTACCTGCCAGGCCAAGCCCACAGCTGGGTTTTACACGCCTCTCCTGCCCCCATGGATACGAACTGTAATGCAGATTAATTTTATAGCACTTGGCCACTATAGACACAGTTTATTATTTTCAGTGTCTCTCAATCTCGACACCTTTTTAGGAATTGGCTGCAATGGGAGATATCAGTTATCAGCTACGGGGCTTAGACAGGACAAAAGGATACCTTTTGCAATCATGCTTGAAACTCTCTAGCCATTTCTTATTGGCATCAATCATGCGCTGGATGTTTGGCTTCTCAGCCTTGGAGCCCTGAAAATGAGGGTGCTGGAACAGGCAGACTTGCTCGCTGTTGGGAAGCAGGAGGTGGGGAGAATCAACCAGGAAAAGAGGTCAAGCGGCGGACAAATTGGTTGTATGCAGGCAACAACCTTAATCAGGTCAGGTGAAGACCAAGGAGACCCAAGGAGGCCTGTGGGAAGGGTTTTTTGCTCTTCTGAGAGCACTGTTGATGTCAGAACAGTCTTAATTCTCTCTAGAGCACTGGTGTCAAACTGAATCGCGTCACATGATGTATCGCAATGCTTTTTTGCCTTTGCGGAGCCCGGGTAGGTGTAGCCTGCGCGTGATGCATCCGGCCCGCGGGCTACCAGTTGACACCCCTGCTCTAAAGAATATCTTCTCTTCAGCAAAATTGCAAAATGACAATTCTAAAACACTCCCCAGGAGACAGATTTTGTTTTGTGCTAGCTGACAGTCAATGCTGTAAGGCAAGACACAATGATCTCATCTGACATATCAGCTTGGATGTGAGAAGTTTCCTTACCCAGTTATTAAGGAGTCCAGCTTGTCATCTTGAGCACCGAGCCCACCACAGGGCAATGGAAACTTCCCTGAATAGAAAAGACTACATTTACAAAATAACAAAAAGCGTTCCATTATTAGAACCATACGGAGACTAAAGGCAAGTCATATTTTTCATTCAGACATCAATCCATTCCAAGAGTTTTAGATTTTGCTAAACATTTCTAATAAATTGTATTACTTATTCCAAATCTATCTCCAAGAGCTGGGTGGATTTGTTTAGATGCTTCCATCCCCCAAACGCCATGTTGGACAAAAGATGGACACAAATCAAATTAATTTTGGTTCAGACACTGAATGTTCTTCAAAGAGTCCTTTTAGGTAAGATATTTTCAATAACTAAAATGTTTTCTTTGCTACTATTACATCATATAGCTCAACTCAGTTCTTATCCTTAAACTTAGATCAGTCGTTGATCAGGAAAGGAAGTGGATTTCTGACTAGTGAATAAATAGAACACACTTTACATTTAAACAAATTCTCAGCTTTTTCTTAGAGGGGGAAAGTTCAACCAACAACTAACCTATACATAAAATCTGTACTAAATAAGAGCATCAACGACTGTGAGCTTGCTGCTTTGCACACCTTTTGAGGAAAGGATTCTACACCATGGACCAAAGATAATTGAGTCTTAAATGCCTCTCACTTGTAGATCTTAAGTCAGTTCTTGAAGATGATTTTATTTCTGCTCATACCCGATTGGTGATTAAAAGCAAAGGTGAAGAAACAACTGTAAAGAAAATTCCCCATGTACTAGGCTCCAAATAAAAGCTACTACTGGGAACATAATTTTTACAAAATGCTCAGAATGCTCTTGGGATAGAAAACAAAAACACCCAAAGGAGAAAACCTCAGGCACCCGTTTTGAAAGGAAGTCTCAAACACAACAAACAGCTCCTAACACAGCTGTAAATTATGGTGTCATGCTGACTCTTAATAATCCAAATCCTAATTCTGGAATCAGGCCTCATCTTTGGTGAGGGAATGGGGGAAAGAAAGGAGAAAAAACAAGCTCTATCAATTGGCATCAAAACTCTTTCTCCAAAACAAGTTGGTAAACTCAGTGATTCAATGCCAGACTGGGCTTTGGACAAAAGAAAGGAACAGCTCAAGAATCCATTCTTACCTGGGAAATACTTGCGCCATTTCTCCATCAACATATTGTCCACAGACTGTCTGCTCACAGCGGCAGAACCGGGGCCAGAATTGCACCAGACTGACTGAAGTCCGGCGGAAGGTGCAAATGACGTGGCCGAATAGGCACGTGCCAGGGAGGTATAAGCAGTCAGAGGAATTCCATCCCTGGCCAGTGGAGCCAGTGACTGGCCTTGGGTGGAAGTGAAAAGAGTCTGCTGGCTACTGAAGGTACTCAGGAGACGAAGGACACAGTTCAGGTCACTGGTGATACGTTGCAGTGATTCAGTCAAATACTGGATCTTGTCAAAGGGAGAAAACTGGACATCCGGTTTCAAGTCAGCTGCTGTGAAAGGGAGGGGATGGGGGGAAAAAACTATTGATTATTTAATGGACAAAAAATACAAAGGTAATAAAGCTCTGAACCCAGAAAACTAAAATCCAGCCACAATTCAGAATTAAAAGCCTCCTGTATGGGGGGAGGGGCGGGCGGAGAGGGGGTAGTAGCTTTCTAGAAGATCGAAGTCAGACCAATTTAATCCAGCTACTCATCCACTGCAGAAAACTAGAGGAGAAAAGACCTCATCAAATTCATCAAGGAAAAACAGGGCTGTTGGGGGGAGTTTATGGGGGGAGCTTCTCCTGCAGATCTGTGAGGGAGATGACAGATAAATGACTGGACTTCTATGGCAGGGTTTCCCAGTTAAGGTTAGGGACGTACAGAGAGAGATACAGGGAGGGATGAAGAGCTTTTTGGTTGCATTGTTACGATAGATCCACCTTTCCCAAAGTTTCACTGTATTGTTTTCATTGTTCATTTGTGTTCATTTTGGATTTTTCAGGGAGGAATATATATTAAGATTACAGTAAAGGGAGATGTGAAAGTTTAGAAATTTATTCTATAGCAACACTTGTGTGAGGAAACACAAATCCTGACACATGCCACATCTTTTTGGCAAGTAGGAAAAGTGGAACTCTGGGTACAGTGTGTCCCAGACCACCATTCTCCAGCTTTCCAAATGTGTGGCCAGAATTCTCAGTAGCTACATAGACTAGCAGTGCTTCAATGGGAATGAAAGGATATCCATCAGGTTCCCAAAAATGAGTGTAAAGTCACAGATTGTAAATTGTAGGATACTGGTCTTAGCATTCATCCAAACACTTACTTTTGTGAAGAGACCGATCAGCACTCATAAGGCTACTTGTGTCTTCAGAGTCACTGAGGTCAAAAGTCACCATTTTCTTGCAGGCCACTCCCTTGATTGTATCTTCATCAGAAAACTAGTAAAGAAGAAGGGGTTTTCCTTGCTGCTGTGTCTCAATAACTCAGAATAAAAAAATAAGCAGCCACTTGTCACCAAGGAAGGCCAGGCCAGCTTGCTTAGTTTCTTTGGCTTAGCCAGAACCAGCAGTTGAGCCAAGTGTTCACAATTAGCAGGATGCCCAATTGGGTTGCAGGTTACTGGCAGAGCCAGTGACTGAAGCACCCAAGCCACCTTGTTCAGCACCATCTTCTAAAAGCACATCTCATGGTTAGATCTCAATCAGTTTTGAATAGGTGAAATGACAGGTCGATGCCCTGGCTGATTACATGACAACAACTAAAATTAGGCCACCCCACACCCTGGGATGTAGTTAAATAAGAGAGACAAAAGTTGTTCTGACAATTCAGAGGCTCCTTCCTCCCCAGAGGGATAGGCAGCTGCAATGGCACCGAGGAAGACTTAGGATGCTTCCTTGCTGGCTCCGACAGAGCTACCTCTTCCAGAAGAGAGGATTCCAGCTGGCTGAGCCTCTCTTCTTTCTTCTTTAGCAGTTCCTGCCCTTTCCGCATGGCAGATTTCATTTCATCTAGCTGCCTCCCTTCCTAGGGGGAAAGAAAGTCATACTGCGGTAACACAGGCCAATAAAGGAGGAATAAAGGACTATTTATTTATTTATTTATTTATTTATTTATTTATTTATTTATTTATGAATGATTGGTTCGATTTATATGCCGCCCTTTTCCGGAGACTCAGGGCGGCTTACAATGCGTTAAGCAATAGCCTTCATACTTTTGTATATACCTGCTTAGTAGGGCTTTCGCCCCCCCCCCCCCCCCCGGGTTCTTTTTTTTTCAAAGTCAGCTTATTGCCCCCCACAATCCGGGTCCTCATTTTACCTACTTCGAAAGGATGGAAGGCTGAGTCAACCTTGAGCCTGGTGAGATTTGAACTTGCAGTAATTGCAGGCAGCTGGTGCTACTTAACAGCACTTTAGTCTGCTGCGCCACCAAGGCTCAAGGATTTAAATGTTGCTGCCATTGTTATCCGACTTTAAAGTCCTCTTAAGAACAGCGTCTCCTCCTTTGTGAGCTGCTGCTTGCAGGGATGCAAGTGTTACAGGAGAGGAGGGGGCCGGCTGCTCAATCTTTCCCCTGGAAGTGGCTCGCAGGGTGACTCATTGCGAAGGCAGAAAGGGGCAACCCTTCCTCGCTGCATGGCCACTTGTCCAGCTGCCAAACTGCAGTAAGGCACAATCCAAAGCAAGCCAGATTGGTATTCTCAACCCCAAAGGAAGCCTTCTACCGCTATCTCCCCCTTCTCTTTTTCAAGGCACCAAACCAAGTTAGTACCGCCCGGATGAGTTGTTGTAAAGTTCAGCTCAGGCTGATGGTTTCAAGCACTGCCTTGCTTTGTCTAGCTCACCACTCACCTCTTCTAGGTTCCTGCGCACTCCCTCTAACACCTGAGAATGGCCTGAGTCTTGCACAGCAGGTGTTCCCTGTAGACCACCATACCAATGCTGCTTGGCTGCTCTCAAGGCCGTTCGCCTTTTTCTCATGGAACGAGTCTGGCACACCAAGAATTCCTTCGCTGTCTTCAGGGAAGCTCCCTCAGAGGAAATGTAGTGCCGTACTCTGTAAGAACAGGAAGAAAAAAAATCTGAGTTTATAAAGAGGCCAAGTAGTCGCTCCTCTTTATCCTGTCCCTACCAGCTGCCAAAGCCTATAGAGTCACACCACACGTGTAGTTATTTCTGGGTGCCAATAACTTTTTTTCACTTACTGGTTCAGGAGAAGGCTGTTTTCTTCATTGCTTTTTGGTATTTCAGATGTCATTTCTCTGGAGGAAGGCTTTAGGATTAAACCATTTTTAAAGTTAAGTAACAGGCAAATGAAGCGGAAACATCAAGAATAAATATAGGGTGTGGTTTCTTAATGGAGGGAGCTTAAATCAAAGCAGTGGAATATTAGGTAGGCAATATTATTTCCCATCTCTTCTGAGCCTGAGGATCTTCCTCCTGCTTACACCTACATCTGGAATATCTGATCCGTATGGAATCAGACACTGATTTGTCTCTTCCAGATGGTAGCAGCAAAGGCCTCCCTTCTCAGCAGCAGAGGGTGGCTTTTCACATGCCGTGACCAAAGAGCCAAGGGGAAATCCCGCACATTTTTAATAAAGTGCTTTTTGAGGTAGTCCATCCCCTGCACACCGGACTTTCCCGAATTTCGGCATCCCCAGACTCTCTTCTCCAGCCCCTGAAGCTCATTTTCTTAAGTAATACCTTGCAATTCAAGGCATATTTGAACATCCCCTTCCCCTGCCTCCCCCCAATTTCAAGATGGTGGAGGAAGTGACTGTGGGAGTCTCATCTCAGGGGTAGCGATTGGTTAGTGTGGCATCCCTCACAAAAGGTTTTGTCTTTCCCATTCCTCAACATCCATTCAATATTGGCTGTGTCCTTTTATAGGCAGAATTGTAAAAATCCATGCACCTTGAAGGCATTTAATAAGAATGCTGCCAACAAACTATTTGAATGACATGCTACGATACATACTGCTTTTCTTGAGCTATATTCTCACTGTAAAGTCCAGGCTGATCTGCGCCACTGAAAGTCCATTTTATTCCCCTTCATCTCTGACCCTGCTTCCACTGACCTCTGGACCGTCCCCTTGTAGGTCTTCCATTCGGAGCGCTTCTTCCTTTTCCCTTGGAGAAGTTGCTTCACTCCATTCTTTATCCAGTTTCTTTAGCAGCTCTTGCTTGGTCCTGATGGTCTCTTCCAACTCACTGAAAGTGACAAGGAAGAAGTCAGATGCCACTCAGGATCTACGTCTGTACTTCTGGCCCGCTCCTTCAGGAAATGGCCAATTCTTGTTCAACTTTTGGAAAGTGAAAGTTAGGAAACATTGCTGAATTCAAGCATGGTGGCAGATGGGCCTGAAACACAGTGGACACCTCCAGGTCAGTGAGCCATGTAGCTTCCCATTCTTCCTAGATCCTGAGAACATTCTCCACCAGTCGCTGGCATAGCTCTATATGTATGCGTCACATGGCTTATTACCACATAATGCCTGGTCCAATCCTGCTTGTCCAGTGAAGAACAAATCTCACCTGGTATGCCTCTCAAGTTGTTGGCTCTGTATCTGTAGCAATTCCACCTGAGACTCCAGCTTTATTTTCTGATCCTGGAGTTCCGCCAGAGCATTGTGCAGCTGCTGTAAGGTATCTTCAAGATTCTCCTGTGCTTTTTGAGACTCCTCAAGGCAGGAATGAGCTGCCAAAGCAGCTTCCTGAAAAAAAAACGGGAGGGGGGGGAGAGGGAGAGTCTGGCAGATGCAACGTTAAATATTCAACTGATATGTAAGGTTTTTTGGCTAAGGTTAGTGCATCCTTGGCCATAGATAAAGATGAGCAGATACTTGACTGCAGCAGTGCAAAGGAGGAACTCATCCTGCCAGCTTGTTTCTATTCTACAGCTGCCTTTCCACTCACATCTAGAGAAACGGCCCCAGATTGTGTGAGTTGCATGCTAAGTGCTCCATTGACTTCTCTGGGCAAAACTTCCTCCCTACAACTTTAGAAAGCTACCACCAGAGAAGACAATCTAATGCTAGTTGGAGTCTTGGTGAACAACACCATCTCCTAATTCTCAGCCTTAAGGCAGCCCTCAGCTAAAGAGGACTGGCTGAGAGCCAAAAGACGGAAACATGTACCTGAAACTGTGCTGCTCCTGCCTCCCCATCTCCTCCCTCCCTCTCTCCTGCCATTTGCATCAACTGCAAAAACTTCCCTTATGTCATCCTAAGGAAAAAGATTCCTAGCTCATTGTGAGAGCTGCCGGTGCATACATTTCTTTCTTCTTCAAGCTGCTTCTCTTCTTCTAGGACCTGCTGCCTTTTCTTCTTCCAGGCCTCCTCCTACACATAAATGAGAAATAATCTAAGAAAGCTGGGAAGCCCATAAAACTCCTCTCTCAGGAGAAAGATTTACAGGGGCTAAGAAACTGGACTCGCTGCCAGCTCAAAATCCAGAGCACTGATAGGCCAGAAGTGCCTCTTGGACAATTCAGGACACCAAAGACTGAGTACATGATCTTGTACTCTTGTACTTTGATCTTATAAAGATCAAGAGCTGCTTAAGTTTCAGCTCAGGCTCTATGCAGGAAATTCTATGTCTGAAAGCTGTGCCAATGTTCGTCCTCTAGAGGAGAAACCAATAAGCCAACAGAAAATAGTGGAAAAGGCATTCAGATGATGGACAGAAAGAACTCATCTACTCCTCCCAAAAGATATACGTGGAGATCTGTGGTATGGGTTAACTAACAGTCCGAGGGGCCAAGTTGCAGTCTTCCCCACTGGTGTGATGAGCTACACAGTTGCACATACGTGTGCTCACCTGGGCACAGAGTTGAGCTGCTTTTGTCTGGGCATCTTTCGCTCGGAGCTCCAGCTCCAGTTCTGCATCCTGGGCCTTCTTCTCCTGTAGGAAGTAAGCCATAAGAGATGCGACCTCTCTGCCAAGACCCAGAAAACGAAGACAGCCAGGTCACGAGGAATGAGGAAAGAACAACTAAGGTGTCAGAAGAACAAGAGAACCCTCCCCTTGTAGCCATTGGGAATTCAAGAGAAGGTCCAATGAGGTGGGAGTTACAGTTAGAGAGGCACCCTCAAGCTCTTGAGAAAGCACTGCCAGGATCTACTGGAAATGTCCTTTTCATGGGCAGCTGAGCCCCATGAGGTCCTGACCTCCAAAGGCTCTCCCCCTCACCATTTTCCCCACCTGCTCCTGGTGCTTCTGGTGCAGCTCCTTCATATTCTCCATGTGTGTCTTTCGCAAGGCCTCTTGCTGGGTCTTGTGGAGCAGTTCCATGTGTTCCAGCTCATCTTGCAGCCCTGCAAGCAGCTCGGCCTTCTGCTTCTTCTCCTGCCGGGTACAAGAGTTGACGTGACCCAAGACGAGGGAGGGAAACAGCAACTCATGCTTCATCATCACCCCTTTGGATTGCTGCAATATGGTCTGCATGGGGCCATCTTTGAAGACCCCCAGGAGGGACAGATGATGCAAGTTGCGGGGGTCTCTTTCTGGATGGTCCCTACTTTCACTGAGGCTACATCTACAGATCCAGAAGTAAACTTGGCGCTGATTGGCAGGAGAGTGTTACTCCAGCCCTAATCAATAGATTCTTCCTAAGAAAAATGGCTTGGGATTTCCCTTTCTAAGGAGATGCAGAGGGCTGAGCCCAAAACACTACAGTAATTTTCAGTTGCAGCTCCTTTCAGAGGTAAATTCCTTTTGTTTAACTTTCTCTATGGGGGTATCTTGACGTCCTTAAAACTTGGCTGTGTCAACAGGCTTAGAGAGTCTCAGGGAAATGGTGATTTAATGAAGTGGCTACATTATTTGTAGTATGTAACATCTCTTCCACCGTTTTAACAATAATATGAATTTTTATTATTAATATTAATAATAATTATTAATACTATTATTAATACTATTATTTTATGGGTTTCTGAATTGCATGCTGTCCAGTCTTGTAGGCCAGGTAGGCAGCCACAAAGTTATGAAAAACTGTTATGTATGTATTTGTAGTCTGCCATTATTATTTTTATAAATAACTCAAGGCAGCGAACATATCCAACACAACTTCCTCCTCCTATTTCCCCCATACATCAACTCTGTGAGGTGGGCTGGTCTGAGAGGGAGGGACTGGCCCAAAGCCACCCATCTGGATTTCATGGCTAAGGTACGACCTGAACTCAACTTTGCCACTTTCTAACCTGGTGCCTTAACCATTAGACCGATATCTATTATTTTGCACACAGTTGATGTTAACAAAATTTACTGTGGATGTTTTATGCTGTATTTTATTATTACTTAACAGATATTGTTAAGTGTTATTATTACTTAACAGCTATTGTTAACAGCTAAGAGACTTAGAATTCAGTGGCATAAAAGTCTGACAGACAGTCAGATAAATATATAAAAGATGGTTTTAAGCTAGCTCCTTCTCTTCCTCGGATGCTGTGAGTAAAACAGCTATAAGCCTACTGGATCTTTTGCTGGGCATCCAACTTATAAGTAACCTTACCTTGTCCTCATGTTGCATTTGAATCCTAGCTAGAGTCTCCTGGTGTATCTTCTGCATTTTTTCCAACTCTCTAGCATGTTCTTGCTCAACCTCTTGACGCTTCTCTTTCAGAAGATCGCTGAGCTACAGTTGGGGTAAAGGCATCCAGATTAAACTGCTGTTATTCCCACTATCATCACACACTGACAAAAAAATGATCCAAAACTGCAGTCAAGGAACAGCACAGTACATCACACGTGAGCTACTGTGACCCTTGTACTGATATAGGTTGTCTAACGTGTTGTGCGAGTTCAGCAATTGAGTTGCTAAATGGCTGCCATTGTATCTATAAAGGACCACCTGTCTCCACCCATTCTGAGGCATTCTGAGACTTCAGGGTGCTGCCTACCAGGTAGGCTAGAACAGAAAATCAGCTCTACAGGACAACCAGAATGGTGCTTGATTGAGATTGGCAATCTTGCAAATCTGACCGTGATATATGTCCCTTCCTATACTCCAGGGAATCAGGGAAGGAGTTGCCTGAACAGATTCCTAATTTCTTATTTCCCAGATTATTGAGTAACAACAATCCCACCTCTCTCCGCTCTGTGCCCGCCCTACCCACGTGTCCTTAGATTTTAGTTTGTTTATGTTTTTATGTATATGTATAAATACATTTTTTAGGGCTGTAAGCCTCATAGAGTTACCCTGTGGCAAGATGGGCGGTCAATAAATTTTATAAATAAATAAATAAATGCACTGAGAGGGGAGAATAACAGTCTGACTAAATAACAGATCTTCCATCAGTGCAGACTTGATCCTGTACATTAGAGACCATGTTGTAAGAAGTGCGGCATTTACTCGTTACCTCTCGCTCATATTCTGCTATGTGATGTCTCTTTTGCTGAATGTTTTGCTCCACACTCTCGAGCTCCTTCTGAAGTTCTGCTTTCTCTCTTCTCTGAGCTTCCATGATTTCCATCCGGAGGGTCAGAATAACCTGGCCAGGAGACAAAGCAGGAGCCTTCAGGGATCTTCAGCCAACATGTATGGTGTGCAACTGGAGTCGACCGGAAGTGTTGCGGCGAGACAGTCGGGGATTAGCGGGCTCTAGTGAGTCCCGCGAAATCCTGGGCTGACGAACCGCTGCACAGGGGTCTTCGGACCAGATCTATCCTGTAGGGACAGAGAAAAAAGAGAGGCACCTCAGAAGACCAAGAGGAACAGGCAAGTTCCTCGGAGGTCAGAGGAAATTCTCTTTGACTCTGCAGTGGGGGGCGGTGGCCATTACGACCACCAGTAAACTGGGGCAACCGGATTAAGCGATGTGCAGAAGCGGAGAATTGAACAGAATATTGCTGCCAGGTGAATGATATCTAACTCCTAGGCAGAAAGGGAAAAAAAAGGAAGGATTTTTAAAACAATTGCAAATGTCCTGGCGTCATAATAGCGGCTAATAGGCGTGGGAAAGGACGGAAGAAGAAGAGTAAGGCGGAAGTTACAAAGTAACAGAACCCGAACTAGAAATTTGCTTGTTTTGGATTTAAAATACTTGGAGAACTTTAAAATTTTTTTTAGAAAAACCAAGAAACCGAAAAGATTCTTTTTCAATTTGGAAACTTTAAAGGGAGTTAAAAAACCCCCCGAAGAAAAGCCTGTAATAGAAAGGACTGGTTAATGACTCTAAATTGGAACCTAATTGGAATGTAATGTGGAATTTGGACTATATACATCTGGACTGAATTTTAAATTGACTTGGTGTAAGTAAAAACTGTTAAAACGGACTGCAACCAAAATGGATGCCTGTTAAGCTTGCCAATTGCAAATGTGGATTGTACAGAGCCATCTTCAGGAGAGAAAAAAAATAATTATAGCACTGAACTTTTTAGAAAGAACAAAATGGCGCAGGAACTGAAGAAAATGTTGATAATGATGTACCTATCATTGAAAAATGGAAATTAAGGCAATGACTACAATGTTGCATGAAAATTTGAAACTTGATGACCAAAAAATTGATTTAGGATACATTCAAGCTGACAAAGAAACAATTAACGAGAAGCAAGAAAAAGAGACTGAAAATGAAGACAAAGCCAAGGACATTGATTATGGAAAATTAAATGATTATTATCTTGGGTTTAACAATGGAAAAAATGGAAAAAGGGGAAAGGAAAAAAAAAGAAAAGAGGATGGAATAGAAAGAATATAAAAAACTTACATGATTACACTGGGGTTATCAGTGAGAAAATAAGAAAAAGGGAAAAGGGATGGAAAATAATGGGAAAGATACAGCAAAATAGAAGAGCTTATGATCTTAAAAAACAAAATGATTACATTGGGATTAGGGAAAAGAGAGATCAGGATTTTAAAATACAAAAAAGAAGAAGGTAAGAAAAAGAAAGTAAAATATAAAGATAGAAAAGGAGAAAGAAATGGAAAGAGAATATGGGGTAAAGAAAATGAATACTAGGGAAAAGATGAAATTGTATTTTTAATGAAGTGATTTTAAAACTATATGGGTGTATGAATAATTGGAATATTTTTAATTAATGAAGGGGATTGTAATAAATGAAATATCCTTAATTATAAATGTGGTATTTAACTAAATAAGAACAGAAAGCTGAAATAATATTGGATTATGAATTAATTAGATATATTTAACTGGTCTTTATAAAAATGTTACAAAAATGTTGAAGCCTATTAGTTGGAATAAATGATACGAAAAAAATTATATATAAAATTGTGTTAAAGATTAACAAAAATCTATATAAATCTAAAACCGGGCCAATATTCTGATCAGAAAAGATGCATTTTATGTTTGTTTGTGTATTTATTTATCTATTTATTTTTATTTTTATTTATTTTTATATGCCGCCCTTCTCCGGAGACTCAGGGCGGCTTACAATGCGTTAAGCAATAGCCTTCATACTTTTGTATATTTTATACAAAGTCAGCTTATTGCCCCCACAAACCGGCTCCTTATTTTACTCACCTTAGAAAGGATGGAAGGCTGAGTCGACCTTGAGCCTGGTGAGAATTGAACTCGCAGTAATTGCAGGCAGTTGGATGTTAAATGCTGCCTTAGTAGGAGGCATTATTAAAAAAAAATGTATGGTATGCAACCCACTAGTTTTTTTCCTAGCTGGTGGGAAAGACTAGTTTCTTTTCTTAAGATAGCTATACTTCATTAAGTATTTAAGTCACAGATAAGCCTCTGTGCCTGCATGAGGAACTTACAAAGCACCACAAGAATTTGCACAGGGTCTCCCTCTGTCCCCAATACTGCTGTCAATTGGCTTGCATATTTCCTTGCAATTTCTGGCTATAAAGGCCATACTCAGGGAAATCCATATTCTTCTATCTTGAGATATTAGGATTAAAAGAAAATAATTGATCTGTTTGACAAGAACGCCTTAGCACCCCGTGTTTTGGCTGTCCGATCCTAAGAATCCCAAAGTCCTCCTGACAGATAGCCCCAATACTGGGCAGACATAAGAGACACAGTGTAAATGTACGAATTAAGAGGGGTTGGGTGCAGGAAAGAGATTTGTACAGTTGCCAGCACCTCAGAAAATAAGGTACGATAGCAAAACAAAACCCCCCAAAAACCCAGGCATCAAATAAGGAAAATCCAAGGGACAGCAGTCAGTCGTCTCTGGGCCTCAAAACTCTTCTATGGGTTTTAAAAATTCACAGATGAGGTTCTTCATGGCAGACAACAGGACGGAGGTACCTCTACAGCTTGTGAAACCGGGATTAAAATTGGAGACCCCAATGCAGCTGTAAGAACTAGGGTCAAGGTTTGCTCCATCCCTTTGACATAGATGTCTTACCTTCTGGTGCTCTTCTGCTGCTGCAGTTTTTTGTTGCTGGATATCTGCTGCCAGCTGCACCTGTAGTTCCTGCAGAGCCTGCCAAAGGATCCAGAAGACAGCTTGTAAAGAAATCCATTTATAGCTTCCAAATTAGAAGACTGGCAGATATCCCTGATCTATATCCATAAACATTTCTACAGTTGTATTGTATGACCAGTGGTCCCCAAATTTCTTCCTGACCTGTCCTTCTCTACCTGTAAAATATATCTCCTTAATTTTCTTTGCTAGGCAAGCATTTCATGGTTACAAGCAGGGATAGGAAATTGGTTTTGTACCAATTTTGACAGCCAAATTCTTTTTGCAATAATAGTACGACCAGAACTAGATAGAACTCACCCAATATCATGCAGTGAGTTCCATCACTGAAGTCACTGAACGTGAATCTGTCCATCATGACCCAACCTTCTAATACTGTAAGAGACTGCTTTTCTAAACTTTCTCTAAACTTTCTGAAGGCGTTTGACACTGATGAGTATCAGTTCATTGAATTAATTTCTTCACGGACATATTTCCTAAGAATGATTCCCCCTTTTGAGACCCAGTATCCCTGTAATGTGGCAGTTTTCACAGGGCCGCATGTCCCATTGGAGCACTGTTGCCAGGCAGCTACACTCTTGCCCCAGGGGGCGTCTTCTGATTTCCCAGCCCCTGGGAGGGATGAAGGGGGACATTCTCACCAGTTCCTTTTCTCTGCACAGCTTCTCCCTCAGTTCATCGAGGGCCCTCTGGTTCTCCTGCTCCAGCGCCATCTGTTCAGCCTGCTCAGCCATTTCAGCCTCTTTTTTTATCCGTTCCAGAGAAAGCCACTTCTGCTTTTGGAGCTTTTCTCTCTCCTGTTGCTGAAAGGATTCTAGCTCCTCTTTCAGCTGGTTCAGTGCAGCTTCTTGTGCCAGCCTGAAAGGAAGTGACCGAGAGATAGCAAGAAGACTTCTCTAGGCTTTCTTCAGAGAGTCCTTGCAGGCAGCCAGCCAAGCTCCTTGGGATGCCTTGCCCCCAGAAGCCCCCGTTTGCATCAGCATTTTGACCAGGGTGATCATATGGCCAAGGAAACCCCAAATTGGAATTCAAGAGCAGAGAATCTAGAATTCTGTCACCAGAAAATAGCATGCAAAGTTGCCAAAGTTTTCGGAAAAGTTATTTTTCTCCTTTTTGGTGATGGTGGGAAATCTGCCAGCAGACCAATAGCTTCAGTAGAGGGAAGAGGATTTTATAACAGACCTCTGGGACCAAGTCATATACAGCTATGAGCTCTTCCAGTTGTACAGATTTTCAGGGACAGAGCCTCACAATTTGTCCGCTGAGTTTCACAAGAAACCTCCAGCATCAATTAGTAGAGGAAAGTGTGCACAGAACACAAGCCCAGAGACCAAAGACGACTAGCAGTTGGCAGTGGAAGGTTGACTAGCCTGCTTTGCTCAGCTCTTCATCAGTCAGCAGAGCGCAATTTTTGGGGGGGAATTTTTTTAAAAAAATTTATAGACAAACAAACATACAATACATAATCAATCAATCGTTCAGTGCTTCATCTGAATACATCTTTTGTGATTTCCTCTTGTTCTCCAGTATTAATCATTTCATAATATCATTTCATTTATTATAGTATTTCTGCCACATTTCTTACTTTGCTATTAATACATTTATCTTCTCTCTCCTCTTTCTTCTTCCCATGTTTCATTACAACATTACCCTATATATATTTCTTCTCTAACCACTGGTAAAATTGTTTCCATATCTTAAAATATTCAGATTCCTCTCTTTCTTTGATTGTCAAAGTCAATCTATTCATTTCTGCACAATCCAATATTTTCTTAATTACTTCACCCTCCGTAGGGATTTTTTCTGCTTTCCATCTTGAATTGCGCAGGGTGCAATTCAAGGTGCCAGTCATCACCTACACAGGCCTACCTAGCCTAGAGTCAAGTTATCTGTGGAACTGCCAGACTGTTCCTGCTTGCTCTACCAGATCTAGCAGAGAGCACTGCTTTGGGTCTCTTCTATTAAAGAGCATGATCTTGCTGGACCTGGAGTCTTGCCTTCTTTGCTGCAGCTCTTGCCTGTGGAACAACATCCTTCTGGAGTTCTGAATGGCCCCAACTCTGACAGCCTTTCATAAGGCACTCAAGTCCTTACTGTATAAAGAGTATAAAGCCATGAAGTGCATGTCCATAATTTAAAGAAATACATAATTATTGATTTTTTCTGCTTAAGTGAGATGAAACTGCAAATCAATCCTATCTTACCCATAAATCCAAATGCTTTTGTCTGATATAAAAAGCAGTCTCACTCATGAGACAGTGACTTTCCCATCCACAAATGTTCCAAACTACAGAGGATGCACACTTCAGCAGTACTAATCTACAGATAAGGCTGGCTCCAGTCCTACAATCGTCATAGGGGACAGAGGTCGTCCCCTAGGCCCCTTGTCTGCGGGCTGCCTCAGGGCTCGGTCCTCTCTCCCCTCCTATTTAACATCTACATGAAACCACTGGATGCAATCATCCGACGACATGGGGTGGGATATCAGCAATATGCTGATGATACCCAGCTGTATATTTCCACCCTCATCAGTTCAGTGAGGCGGTAAATGTGATGTGCCGGTGCCTGGAGGCTGTGAGGATCTGGATGGGAGTCAACAGGTTCAGACTTAACCCAGACAAGACCGAATGGCTCTGGGTATTGCCCCTAAAGACTATGTCGATTGTCCACCCGTGGTTCTGGGGGGAGAGAAAGTGCCCCCCTCAGAACGGGCTCGCAATTTGGGTGTCCTTCTAGACTCACAGCTGAGATTGGAACAACATCTGACAGCTGTAGCTGTAGCTGTAGCTTTGCACAGGTTCATCTGTGCACCAATTGCGACCCTACTTGGATCAAGAGGCTCGCCTCAGTCACTCATGCCCTTGTCACCTCACGGTTGGACTATTGCAACACGCTCTACATGGGGCTACCCTTGAAAAGTGTTCGGAGACTACAGTTGGTCCAGAATGCAGCCGCGTGAGTTACAGTGGGTGCACCTAGATACACCCACATTACACCAATTCTCCGCGAGCTGCACTGGCTCCCTATTGGTCTCCGGGCGCAATTCAAGGTCTTTATTATTACCTTTAAAGCCCTACATGGCTCAGGACCAGGCTATCTTCGAGACCGCCTTCTACCACATAGCTCCCAGCAAGATCCCACAGTCGGTCTCCTCCGGGTCCCGTCAGCTAAACAATGTCGGCTGCCGGGCCCACGGGGGAGGGCCTTCTCTGTGGCTGCCCCGGCTCTCTGGAACCAATTACCTCCTGAAGTCCAGACCGCCCCCACCCTATTGGCCTTCTGGAAAGCAGTGAAGACCTGGCTCTTCCGGCAGGCTTGGGGCCGTTGATCTCGTTATAGTGATCTTGCGAGACCCGACCACAAATTGGAGTGTTATGTGTTTTAACGTTTTAATGTTTTAATGTCTTCTTTTAACTTTTGTATGGGATACTGTTGCATTGTTTTATTCTCTGTTGTAAGCCGCCCAGAGTCCCTTGGCAGTTGGGCGGCATAGAAATGCGACAAAATAAAATAAATAATAAATCGCATCTTCCCCCGAAGAGGACAATTAGAAGATTTCAAGGCAATCTGATACCTGATCTTCTCCTTCCCTGCATCCATCTCAGAATGCAACTCAGTGTGGAGTTTTTGAAGTTCCACTTTGATCTCTTCCCTCAAGCGTATCTCTTCTTCCTGCCTAGTTGTCTCCAACTCAGTTTTTAGTAACCTAACAGATAAGCAGAGTGATTTGGACTGTGAAACTAGCTGCTAAAAAAAAAAAAGGAACACCACCACTAAAGTCTGTAGAAACCTTCAGCAATTTACAGCAAAAGCCGACTGCATGATTTCTAAGTAAGGAAGATACATGAATGAATAAAGTCAATATGGCTCTAGAGAAAGATTTTAAAAAGTCCATCTTGCATGTATTTTGGGGTCAGCCCTGGCAACATTCCTTGAAAACAGTATGTAGAATCAACCGTACAAGGTAAATTGTGACATTTTTACATATGACATTCTAATCTTTACAACTTGAAGTCTCTGAGGAACCTTCCAATCTCATCTGTCCCTTCCCTTCTAATTCAATTTGTTTATTGATTAGTCATTCAACCATATCAAGAAGCAATAAAAACAGCACAAAGAAAAATGGAGGCCATCGCTACTGCTCCTGCAGTCAATCCCAATCTGTTCTAAGTGGCACAGACTCTTCTGGATGCCTTTTGATACAGAAGTCATGATTTTCCTAGTAATATGCAAGTTCGCTCCCTACAAAAGGTATGCCAAGTTGTCCTAACCCAACATTTCTTATTCCGGAAAATAATTTGATCTTTCATCTTCTTGCTGTCTTCCCTTCCTTCCACCTTTTCTGTTTACAGTTATTGCTAAATTAACCAGATAATTGATTGGTGGAGATGTCTTCCCCATCCCACAGCTTGGTGAATCCCTGCACTGTTTCTCATGCCTACAGTACGTGGGATAAAATTTAGTGAAAGACTCTCTACACTTTCCCATCTCAAGGACACTGGGGCCAGCTGTGTAGTTTTTCATCTGAAAATATGGTAAGATTTTGTCAGTTTAAGTGAACTATCAACAATATGCTAATGATAACCAATTGTATATTTCTGGTCCAGGCCTGATGAGAGATGCTGTAGACATAGTCACCTGGTGCCTGGAAGATATGATAGATTGGATAGGATAAAACAATTGAATCCCATCAAGAAATGCTAGCACTGATTCAGAAGTTATCTAATGTCCTGATTATTCTGAGTTAGTATCCGCATGGCATTGCATGTGGTCTCCTATATGTACAGTTTGTTTGTTTGTTTGTTTGTTTGTTTATTAAAATTATATACTACCCTACTCCTGAGGGACTCAGGGCGGTGAACAGCCAAAAGATAAAATACACATAGTACAAACGTTAAAAACCATTTAAAAATACATTAAATACTTTGGCCCAAAAACAAATTTAAAACACCCCAATTTATAAAACAAATTTAAAAGCAATTTAAAAGGAGGTTAGGCCAGGCCAGCCTGCTGGAATAAGAATGTTTTGAGGGTACGGCGGAAAGTGCGCAAATCCGGGATCCTCCGCATCTCCGGGGGGAGCTCGTTCCAGATGGCAGGTGCCCCCACAGAGAAGGCTCTCCCCGTGGGGGCCGCCAGTCAACATTGTTTGACCGATGGCACCCTGTGAAGACCCTCTCTATGGGACCGTACTGGTTGGTGAGAGGCTACTGGTGGCAGAAGGCGGTCTCGTAGGTACCCTGATCCTAAGCCATGGAGCGCTCTAAAGGTAGTAACCAAAACCTTGAAGCGCACCCGGAAGACCACCAGGAGTTAGTGCAGCTTGCGCAGGAGGGGGGGTCACATGGGAGCGCCACGTTGCTCCCATAACCACCCGCATGGCCGCATTCTGGACCAGCTGGAGCCTCCGGGTGCTCCTCAAGGGGAGCCCCATGTAGAGAGCATTACAGTAGTCCAGGCGGGAAGTGACGAGGGCATGAGTGACTGTATGTAATGAGTCCCGATCCAGAAAGGGACCCAACTGGCGAATCAGGCGAACCTGATAAAAAGTCCTCCCAGCCACAGCCATCAAATGCTCTTCTAAAGACAGCCGTGAGTCCAGGAGGACACCCAAGTTGCGAGCCCCCTCTGTGGGGGCCAACGACTCGCCCCCAATAGTCAGTGACGGCACCAGTTGACTATATCGGGACGTCGGAAACCACAGCCACTCGGTCTTGGATGGGTTGAGCCTGAGTCTGTTTCTCCCCATCCAGATCCGTACAGCCTCCAAGCACTGGGACATCACTTCAAGGGCATCATTGGGGTGATCCGGGGTGGAGATGTACAGCTGAGTATCATCAGCGTACTGATGGTACTTCACCCCGAAACCACGGGGTAGTTCTTTCTTGACCAGCAGCTAAAATCACGGCTGAGGAGCTTTTGCCCAGCTGCAGGTGGTACACTAATTGTTGGCCATCTTTGGGAGACACAGTGACACATATCTTCAGTGACACATATCTTAAGGTTGGATTACTACAATATGCTTTGAAGACTACTCAGAAACCACAGTTGGTCTAAAATGCAAGAAGCTACTAGCAGGTGGGACTCCTTTACTGACGCTGCACTAGTTACCAATCAGTTTCTGAATGCAATTTAAAATGCTAGTTGTAGTCTATAAATTCTTAGAGGGCCCGATTCCACTTATCTTAGAGGCTGTTTCCTTCAGAGGATATATGCCTGGCCTTAGCGGTCATTGACTGACCACAGGGCAGTGACGGTACATTGATCAGACTGCACCTACAATATGAGTCTAGTTTCAGCCAGCATATTTTAAAGAGAACTCTGGGATATTGATCTACTGAAATTAATTGAGAGGTATGCAACCAAGGTGATAAAGAACTGGGAAAGAAAACACTTTTGAGGAACAGAGGTACTGGATGTTTACCATGGAGAAGAGAAAACTGAAGAACTGATGTAGAAGACAGGCAGAATTGTTCAACATTCCAAAAGATGGAATGAAAAACAATGGAAACAAGGTTTAGTTGGACATCAGAAAAATGGGAGAGAAAATGGAGCAAACAGATTGCCTTGGGAAGAAGTGGAATCTTCACTAGAAGCCTTTAAACAGAGGAGGCTCTGTGGCAATCTATCAAGGATGCTGAAGGAATGAATTCCTGAACTATGCAGAGGGTTGGATCAGAGGTATACCCTAACCCTAACCCTAACCCTAACCCTTTCCAGTCCTGGCACTCTATATTTTAATCACTGGTAACTGAGAGTCAATGTAGTATAGAACTGAAAGTATTAGACCAAAATCCAGTAGAAGGAGATTCAGTCTTTGCAGGTCCACAGAGATCATGAAGTGACTTCACTGTAGCTCTACCGCATCTCCCAGGGCTGCTTTCATGGAAATAAAATAAAGGAAAATCACTATGTATGGCCCATTCAGCTCCCAGAAGAAAAGCAGGACATAACGTAAAAGTAAAGACAACTGCCATGACTCACACAAGCAGTACAAGCAGTATCATGTTCAAAACTTACTACTTTGTAAGTTATTCTGGTTAAGAGAGAAAAGATGCATACAACCTCACTGCAGGAATGGGAAAAAAAAATGGAAGGAGAAGAACGACCAAAGCATCAGGCAATGCAAGAGTTGGATGCTGATGTACATCAGAGTCCTACACAGAACACAAATCAGTACCTATCCAATCCACAAGTCATGAGTTGCCTAGGGCAAGTGTCAAATAGCTGTGGTCTGTATCGAACAGATAACGTTACATAAAGGCAGTCAATTATTTTTTTAATGGATGAGCTTCTCCTAAAAGTTTCTAATTAAGTAGCTTCTTTGACATTTTCTGTTGGGATTTGGGATCTCAATGTTACAACAAATAGTCCTTGCCTCTTTCTAGGAAAGAATTTTAAAACACCAAGACTTTGGATTTGCACCCTTAATCTATGTGACAGAAGATGAGCACTACTGGCATTCATTGGGGGTGGGGGGTGGGGGAGGAAAGCCAAGTATCCATAGTATAGATGCAAAGAAACTCACCGGAGGCCAGACTCTTTCTGCTGATGTAACATCTGGATCTCTTCTTCCTCTCGTTGTTGCAATTCTTCCTGCAAATTCTGAATATGTATCTGTTTTTCTTCCAGCAAATACATGTTCGTTTCTTCCACTTTGGTTATTTCCTCCAGTGACTCCCCAGTATGGACATTCCATGGCTTTATTGGATTAATTTCAGTCTCAAACTGCCTGCTGTTAAGAACAACAAGTTCACACTAATTATTACTTGAAATGGACCAGGGTAGAATACAGAAGCCTAAAAAGACCCGATGCAAAAAAAAGACCTGTGAGCAAACAGAAGCCTACTTAGGACAATTCTTCATCACTTAGTAAGGCAAATGCCAATTCATTCAATTTTGATATATTCGGGTTGCTTCCAGATCACATCAAGATGCCTGAAAAATTGTTTTAATCTGATGTGCTTTCATCTTATATTTTTATCACTTGCAGTAATATCGCTTCTTTACATCTGCAGCCAATCAGCTTCTCAAACAGGAAGAGACACAGAAAATCAAAATATGGAAAGGGTTCAGAAAGCACTCTTTAATCAATTGTTCAGCTCAATATCTGGCTGTTCACCGCCCTGAGTCCTGCGGGAGTAGGGCGGTATATAAATCTAATAAAATAAAATAAAATAAAAATAAATATAACAGTGAGCTGCTAACTGCACACTTGGCTGTAACCTTTCCCATTAAGATAGCAGCGGTGTAAAATGGCTTTTCTTTTCTAAATCCCTAGGGCAGAGTTGCGGAAGGGAATTTCCCTAGATGCTTAGTTTTATATGTACTTTCAGAAAAGGAGAAGAGTGCTTGGAACACTCTCCTTACAAAATAACGAGATTTACCGCTTAATACCAGGATCAGATAACAATATCACATTCCATGAATGGCCTGAACACCTTTAAATGCAATGTATCTTGTATAGTTTTAATTTTTCCTATTCATCTGGATTCTGGATACCAACATTATGGGGGGAAAGGGCTAACATGGTACAATATAAACGCCTTTTTGTAAATATGTTTATTTTGTTTTCCTGGCTTGTTTAAAGTTTACAGGTATACCTTAGAAGCATCAGAATTGTTATTTGTGGGAGTGTCTTTGAATCTAGTCTAGAATATTTATTTACTGCAGAATTCAGCAGCCAACTGGTCTCTGGAAAGAGTCAAAAGAAGATGTATTTCATTTGTACTAAAATATTATTCTGGGAGAAATTCCAGGCATTGGTTATTACCCTTAAGTCCCTAAAAGGCACTCAAGATACCACTTTTTTCTAGAGTATTTCACACTTCATCCTACTCACTGAGTTCATTTAAAAAATCTATTCCTACAGATACCACAGCTTGTTATGCAGGGATTCAAGAATTATGCTTTTTCAGCAGCTCTTCCTGGTCCTTGATACGATCTCCTTGTTAAAATGAAGGAACCCACCTGTTTTGTTAGAATTTTAAAAAAATGTTTAAAACCAATGTGCTTCAGAAGGTGCTGTTATTTTCAGAGACAGTACTCTCTTAGAAACCTGATCAGATTTGGGGCTTCCAGCAGCCCAAGACGATGTAGTTGGCCTTTAAATCCATCACGCCAGCCTATGAAACACTGGTAACTCTTCATACCAGCCAAATAACTGGCTCCAACTGACAATCCTTTTTAGCCGACCCCTCGCAGGCAGTGCTGCCAGGAGGAGGGTGGGAGAAACAAGTGGGGACAGAGTGGAATTAAAAGAAGCGAGCCCTGAATAAAGTCAGGTCTCGAAAAACAGATGTGCAACAGCCATGCTTTTTGCAAAGAATTTGGGCTTTATACCTCTCTTCTGCCACAGCAGATCCATTATTTTGTTCCTCTTCCAAGCTGTCTTTGTCCTCATTTTTCTCCTGCGCCAACCAGTTTGTGTTCTGCAAGAGAAAGGAAAGGTGGAAGCTTTGCCACAGCCCCGTATTTCAGTGAAAAGGTGAATATCACAGATCCAATCTGGACAAGAGATTTCTACATTTAATTGTGATAGCATGATCCGATGCAAGATTTTATGTACTGTGAAACCAACAAGAAACAGTAATCATAACACAGTTATGTGTGTGAAAAATTGAAAGGAGTTTGCAATACTTCACCCTGTGCAACAAAAGTGAATGACAAATAAAGGAACTCATGGAAAAGATTGAAAGAAAAAGTCAAGAGGACCATATTGCTCAATAAAGTCTGGAGAATATTTAAAAGTACAATAACTGAGGCTCAGCAACAATGCTGAGCCCAGACAAGGCAGCATGACTCTTTAGTCATGTACAGGAAACTTTAAAATTTCAGAAGGATTCCTTTAAGAATGTTTGCCCTAAGGAGAACAGAAAGGAGTATAAAAAGTGTATGGAATGCAAAAAGAATTTCAGGAGCGCACATAGGAAGAAATGTAAAACATTAAACTTTTAAATATATATTTAAAGCAGGAAACTGCAGTTGGGTCTTAGACAGCGAAGGAGCAGAAGGAATATTCAGGGACAATATAGAGATTAGTAAGAAACCCAGTTAGGTTTTCCATCTCTCTTTGCTATTGAGTGGATAGACCTTGGATTGACTTTCACAGGGAAGAACCAGAACTGTTGAGCAAATTGAGATGACAAAATACTCTAGATTATTTGAAGATATTACAAATAACAAATCATTGAGTCCTCATGGCATCTACCCAACAGATCTTAAAATAGTTCAATTGCAGACTTGCTGATTTCCTAGAAAAAAACATGTAACCCTCAACTTGGGCACAGTGCTGGAAGGTAGCAAATGTGGCACTGATTTTTAAGAAAGGATCCAAGAAGATGCAGAAAATTAGTTTAATGTCTGCTCTTGAGAAATTGGCAGAAACAGAAAATCTTAACAAAGAAGCCTGGTGGAAATAAAAATTGTATGGATTCCACAAAGATAAGTCTTGACAGTCCTTTGAGGTAGGCCATGTCTGCAAACTTGCACTACAGAGTTCCTGGCACTCTATTTTATTGTTAAAGGATATAATATCAGAATTTGAAAGTCTGACCATGTTTCTTTTTCTCTCCCTTGATACCCAAGAGAGTCAAGGTGGGGCAGTCTTGAATTTCTTCCTCATCCCCTCCTGTCTTCTGGGCAAAGCTGATATTTCTGTAATTGTTGTTGCACCTCTACTTCAAGGCTCTCTCTCTCTCTCTACTCCTCTGCAAATATCGCTCAACAAATAGCCAGTATTTCTGAGGTGTAAACAAACATCTGAATAGAAGTAGCTCTGTGATATCATATACAAGGACTTTGAAAAAGACTTTGACGAAGTTTCTTATCAAAGGGTCTTGTGTAAAATTATTGTCACTGATACGTAAAGCTGTTTTTTGACGGATTGCTAACTGATTAAAAAAAAATCCAGCAACTTACTTCCTCTTTCGAAGTGCTTTCAATGGTCGATTTGTTCACCCCAAATTTTGAACTGTTTAGGACTGGAGGTATTTCAACCACGTCCAGGATTTTTTCTAGAATAAGTTTCTGGAAACCAAAGGCCACAGAAGACAAGAAAAGCATGTGTGTGGAAAAGAAAGGTTATCCTAGATCATTAGTCTTACTATGTGACCTAAAACCAACACAAGGTTGTCAAAAAGCATAAAGGAAAACAAATTATGGGCACTAGGCGACCTGAGATATTTCTAGAAGGACTGCATTCCTGAATAGGTTGTTCAGGAACCAATGAGTCCTGAGTTCAAAGATGTCATTTCAAGGTAACAGCTTGGTTTGGGATAAAAAAGCAAGTCAGTGAAGAACCAGCTTTGAGCACAGAATCATAGACGAAAGGAATCCAAGCGAAAGCCTCCCCACTCGATGGCCTTCATCCTCTACTGGAGCGCATTCAGGGAAACATACCACCTCCTCGAGTTACAGATACTGTTCTGAAACCGCATTTTAAAAGACGGAAGGGTTTTCAAACAGATCAGTTGTTCAGGGTTCCTCTAACTTTATTAATCACCCTCATTAACTTGGTTCAAACTTTCCTGCGGGTTTGGGTGTTGATGACCTGCCTGGATGGGCCAATCCAGTTCTGTCAAGATGCTGCTGGTGCTATACCATTTAAGTTTTTAAAGATAACGATGAGCAGTTTGAATTGGGCTTGGAAATCTTCTGGTAAGCAGCACGGTGACTTTAGGATTCTGTTACCTGGTCTACAAAGGGCCCATCATGAAACCAGGCAACTACTGCATTTCACAATAACTATAGTTGTTGAACCACATAAAACACATTTAGGACGGACTAAAACTTGTCCCCTGTAGCATTAAATGCCCTGTTTCTTTTACAGGAACACATCACCCCTCCCCTGCCATCTGGGAGCTGATTTCCCATGCTCACAGGGGCAGTGCCGGGAATGTCTTTTTCAAAGATCCTTCTGGCATACATTATGAACAAAAATATGTTCCCTTCAGAGATATATCAGATGTGTTTGATGAAAATACTACCTCACTGACTTCTTTCTTCTCTGTCACATCGGATATTAAGTGAGGCAAACAAGCTTCTTTTTCCTCCTCATTTTTGGAATTTGAAGTATTTTTTCCACAGCTGCTGGGCTATCAAAGGGAAACCAATCAAAATATCAGTGCGTTAAGATGCGAGGAGGAGTCACAAAGCCAGTCCAACTTGCAGTCACGTGCCTTGCTCAAGACAGCATGCTAGTCCTACAGAGCATCTCCCACTTGTTCTTAGGGAGCCGTGAAGAGCACCGGTTGAGACAGCCACAATATCACATAATCAGGACACAAGACTCTCTTGGAAAGCCTGGATCAAAGGAGGGAAAAGAGAACCTCTGGATGGGCATTGTGAAAAATTAAGTGTTGGAATATTGCTGCCTTTGACCAAATGCAGCAGGACTATTATAGCGTTATATATTACGAGAGAGAGAGGAAACAAGTCTTCTCTTACCTTTATTCATACTGTACATAGCTTTTATCTTGACCCTCTCTCCAACCTCCTCCAGTATTTTAATTATAATCTGCACTTTTGCCAATTTTACTGTTTTTTGAAATTAGTTTGAAGTTCCACATGCAGTCACACCACCAAATATAAAAGCGTATTAAAACGTAAAGGACAAACAATGTAGTGATTTCAATCTCTTTATATGAAATCTTTTTTCGGCTGTCATAATGTACCAGTCTTTTCACCAAGCTACCCAAAAGGATCCTGAGATCCTTTCTCTGGTTGCTCACTATTTACTGTGTATGCAATCAGGATAGGATTTTTTCCCAACAGGCATCACTTTGTACTTGCATACATTAAAAGAAATTTACCATTTTAGTTTAGTTTAGTTTTAGTTTTATTAAATTAAATTTTAATAGCTGTTCCCCAAGCCTAAGTGGTCCTTTTGGAATTACTGAAACATTTTACCACTCACTTTTAAGCCCAGATAATCTCTGAACCAGTTAACAATATAAACATTGCAATATAAACATTAGAGCTATCCAATAGGGGATATTCCGATTCTCTCTTCCAGTTCAGGAGCCAGTCAATAAGATACACACAAGGTAGGAAGCTGGGGTTCAAATCCAGCAAATGATTCTAGGCTTAACGAATCTTACACCATTTACCCATTCTTTGCCTAACTGGATAATGCAATAGTTTATAGTGGTGAAAAAACTCTGTTCTCAGAGAAAAGACAGATTATAAATGCCAGCTGCCTACCTCTTCCATTCCATCTCCGTCTTTTGGAAGCTCAACCCTGCAGGCTCCTTCCATCAAAATCGTATTGGGCACCATCTGTTCTCCTGCCTGGTTGTCTTGGAGGAGGCATGTCTGACCTTCACAGGGCTTCAATCTCTTTCCTTCAGGAGTTGCTGCTTCTACTGCTGCTGTTTCTGTAGCTCCTTCCCCAGCAAGATCAGGCTGAACAGTCTGATCAGAACCAGGCCCTTTGCTGCAGCCCTTCTGACCCTTGAGAGACTTGGGCACACCCGATTCTGTTCTAGACTTCTGCACCATATGGAGGACATGTTGATAGAACTTCTGATCCTCTGAATAGCACTCACTAGCTGACTGATTGTCTGGGGAGCTTTGTGCTTGGCTATTTACAGCTTCCAAAAATGGTCTTTGGGGAGAAGGCAGGTGCTTTGTGGGATGTTCAGATTCACAAGAGCTCTGTAAGTCCCAGGACAAATTGTCTACTTCACCCAAAACCTGAGAAGCAAGGTGGTCAGACAGGCTGCTAGCAACACTGACACTATTACCGCTGTCAGATTCTATCTTTGAATCGTGTTTCGCCCCCCCTGTGAGTTGACCCGGTGTAGGAGATGACACTTCACTCTCTGAAATTCCTGTCTTGGCTCCAAGCTCAACCGAACCCTGCAGCTGAGAATGAGGAACAAGAGTCTCGATCTGCCATGGGCTGGACTCTGTGGCCAGGCATTGTTCAGAAGGGTTCTTTTTCCCCCTTCTGTTCTCCTTTATTCTCTCCAGAGGCCTTAATATTTCATTTTGAAAATAACGGATGTCACCTTGTCCCTCTAAAGTCCTAGATGAGATCAATGTGAAAGCAGCAGCAGAGGGAGAAAGCTGCATTTCCTTTTCAACGCTATGCAAGAAGTCTTCCTTCCTGACTAGTCCATCTCCCTCCGCATGGCCTTTCTCATGGTCCTCAACTTCTTTTTCTCCCTCTAAGAACAGCTTTTTCTCCTTGATTCCTCCCAGGGCTAACACCGTCATAGCAGCTGCTAAAGTTTGAGAGGGTTTCTTCAGTGTTTGGAAAAAAGGCTTTATGAGGTGGATGCTATCTACATCCTCAGGTTCCAAGTCTGATAAAACACCACTAGTAGCTGCACATCTGATTTCTGTATTCGCATCTTGTTGTGCTTGATGATTAATATCTGACCTGCTGGAAGATGCATTTCTTCCAAGAATTTTCTCCACATCTGCAAGGATCTGTTGAGTGCGGTTTGATTTTTCTGGCAGAAGAGGTTGTAATTTCCCTGGGGCAGGGCTTGATAGCAGCCTGGACAAATCACCGGTATCCGAAATCTTTCCCTTGGGGTTTTTCAGGAAGGAGTCATTCTGTGTCACCAGGCTGCCCTGTTGCTCTAGGACAGGACTACCATGCTCCGAATACAGGATAGGAGATGATACTCGATAAAAGGATGTTGACGGAAGAATCCCTGGCTCCGACTGCATCTCCTAAGTAGGCAAAAACTATCAGGTTACTGATTTTGTAAACAGGCTAACTTTTCTTCTATATGAGCCATGCAAGGAAAAACAAGCCTGCATTTCTTGCTCTTGCTTGCTAGAGGAACCCACCATGATGATTGGCAGACTTTTGATATCAGCTTGGATATGGTAATCGGCTGTTTGAATAACATACACAGTTGCAATAGTTTTTGTGGAGAAAAAAATTCAAGGCAGCTAATTTATTCAAACCCTGCCAAGTCTTCAGCACCAGAGACTGAAAGAAACACCCATGAAAGAAGAGCAAGTGCTAAGGCTAGAACTGGCCTCTACGTTGCTGGAACAATTTGAAAAGCTGTACAAAACATATCGTTCTCTTCAGTTATTACTTTTTTTTTTTTTTAAAAAGAAATCTTTCCCAACCATGTCGGGAAAGGGTTAAAGAAAACCGAAAGCAGAAAAGTCTTGACTACTGCTAGTCAGGGGTATTTAAAGCCCAGCTCCTTTATCCCATGGGGAGACAGGTCTTTGGAGGGAGGGATGGAGATGAAGAACAAGAACAAAACAGGAAACCAGAAATATTTTATCTGTTTCCGTATTCCAATAGCAGAAATGCTTGTTCAAATACTCACCACAGGATGCTTAGGGGGGTCTCTTTCTTTCTTATCCTTTTTCTTTTCTGCCCTTTTCTTCTTTTTCTCTTTCTTTTTCAGACCTCCATGTTCCAGAATTTTTTCCCTTTCCTGGATCACAAGTTGGCGGTAGCGCTCATCACACGGATGGTCCCAGGTCGACTGGCCATTGGCAAAATTGAAGTAATAGATATCGCCAGTGGTATCTTGACTGCAGACAAGAGAGAGAGAAAGTAACAACCGCTCAGGGAGAAAAAGAGCAGGACAGGAGTTATCATGGGTGGGTGCGTGCGTGCGTTTGGTGCTCAGGCTCCTGTTCCGCTTCATCCTTTCCGGGACAACCAGAGGGCATCCAGGACCTCCCAACTAGAGGAACGCAACGCGCTTTCTTTTGCTTCGAGAAACCATGCCATCAATGGGACCTGACGGAAACTGCACCCGAAACCGGAGGCCAAGTCGTAATCGTTACCCAGGCAGGAAGAACTTTGGGGGCCCGCGGAGGGCTGGGCCGTTGCGGCGCTTCCCGGGACCAGCTGACACGGCGGTCAGCACCGGCTCTTCCGGAGCCCCTCCGCCCGGCCTCGCCTCTGAATTCTCCAGCCAGGCCGAGCGGCACCATCGCCTCCGCCCGGGACCTTCGGGGCCGCCAGAACCGCGCCCGGGAGGAGGAGCGGGAGCGGGACAGCCACCCGTGCCGCGGCGGCCAGAGCTTACCACGGCTTCCACTCGGCGGGCAGCGGGGCCACGATGCCCTCCCGGGCCAGCCACATCAGCTCCGGCTCGTGCTCGGGGTCGATGCCCACCACGCGAGCGAACTCCTGGATCTCTGCGGAAGAGATGCGCCCGTTGAAGCGACCCCGCGGGGCCCCGGCTGGCCCGAGGAGCCCCCGCGCGCCCGCCCGCCCCCCCGCCCACCTCGCTCGCTGGGGATGTAGCTGTCGTCGTAGTCCTCCTCCAGGATGAGCTGATCGCCGATGCGCAGGGCGGGCCCGGCCATGGCCTGCGGGGCGGGGCGGGGGGGCGCCGAGCGAGGGACCGCGAGCCCCGCTGCCCCAACGGAAATCTTCCGCCTCCGGAAAGCGACGCGGTCGTTGCCATGGCGCCACGCCGTCTCCTAGCGACGCCCGCGCGCCCGCCCGCCCACCCGGCCTGTGTTGTTCAGGCGGCGAGGGTGGAAGCGCCGGAGCGAAGCCCCTCGGGCCGCCCGGATGGAGGGACTCGCGTGGCCGCCCTTTCATCTCGACGAGCCGGGCTACCGATCTAGGCGGCCCCATCCCCCCCCCCATCATGTGACGGCCAGCGGCGACCGCTGCCCTTGCTCCGCTGCCCGCTGGCCCTGCCCGCGCCGGCTGTTTTGGCAGCTGCAGCTTCCTAGGGAGCCGAAGGATGGGTAGGTGGGGATACAAACGCGGCCACTATATTGCGTCCCCGTTGCAGACTTTCGGCTTTGAGAAGCTGGGCAAAGATTTGGGGGAAGTCGCCCATTAACTGCGGCATCCCAGCAGATCCCAAATGCTGCGCAGAAACTCAGGGTGGAACAGAGGAAAGTGAAAATGGGGAAAACGTTTAAGGAAGATATTTCGCCGGGAATTCGCACGCCTATTTAAACGAAGAGTCTTTCCTTCCCAAAGTAAGGGGGAACCTCACTCACTCCCTGTGTTGCAGCCTCCTTACCCATGACCTGATACTCCTTATTTTTGCCTCCAGAATCTGGAATCTGAGTAATCCAGCAAAGAAATTCAGAACCGAAGGTAATGCCAGCCATGTCTACTTTGCCAGAGTTGTGGTTTTACACAAAGATATCAATGTGACAGTGGTAGGAGGAGGTAAGGGGATGAGAGAGCAGGCTGAGTTCTATCAGGCTATGCATTTCTAAGGGGCTAAAGGCAAGGTGTGGACCCTACATCATTCAAAAGCCTTTTGCAAGCTTTTCGCAAGAGCTCCACTGAAAAGAGTGGAAGAAGAGGCAAGCTTGGAGGTTCAGGAAGGCTGGGCCCACACCGTTGGCTCCACCGTGTATTTTTAGAAGGGATGCAGAACACCGAAGTCATTTATCAGCCAAGTCACACTGCTGTCTTCTCTCCTGAAACTTTCCACCTTTAAAAAGATACAGTCTTCTTTGTTTCCCCCCATTTCTGTAGGTTTGTTTACACATTAATTAGTGAGCAAAGGCATCCCTATGAAGAGAAAAAAGCAGCAGCACTGATCCACAAACGTTTGTGTACAGGAGGATGCAGTTTATAGCCTTGGGAAAATTGTACAGCAGGTTAGGAGGTGGATATTTAACTCACATAATACAATTGTTTTTGTTAAGATCTTCAAAAAACCCTGCCGGTTTCATTGTTTGATGTATGGATGGATAGCACGCTTGCTGCTTAAATGAAATAAATGGTAGCATTTCAGCTTCCAAGGCTTGACATAAATGGGGTAGTAAACTTAAGCATACTCAAATGTAGAGTGCCTTGATGGTAGGATAAATAGAACAGATAGACATAAAACTTTTAATAAAAAATATATGTCTCAAAAATAGCAGTGAACATAAAATCTAACCTTATTAAATCATTTTAATACTACCGCAGTAAATTCAAAGACAAACAACACCAAACATTAATGTCTTCCTGTCCCCCAGTGCCTGTAGAAAAATGACCCTTCCATCATGGATTACTTCCTGTCTAAATGCCTTAATTGTCCCCCCAACTTCCTTTGTCAGCGACCTTCCCAGGATGGCCGACTTCCTGTCCATCCTTCTTAGTCATCCCCCAACTGCCTTTCGCAGCGACCTCGGTATGGTGGGATTTTTTAAATGAGATTTTAAGTTTATTATCCCGTAACAATTATTAAATGCCTTATAATTAATATTAATCGGGCAACAGGAGGCCCATTTGCAGCAAGACAGGTACAGAAGAAGGAATCCTGCCTCAAAAGACTTAAACCGAGTTAAAAAGGCGCCCGATAGCTTCAATGCTATGGGACAGCATAAGGGACAGAAAACAGTGCCATCCTGTGGTCCAAGCAGGAACAGCAATCACAATTTTCTAAATGGCATTTAAAGATTAGTATTCTGTATCTTTATTATTAAAAGCCTTATTAATATTAATTGTGCAACGGGAGTCCCAGGAGGTGCACAACAGGAACAGAAGAAAGAATTCTGCTTCAAAAGCCTTAAACCGAGTTAAAAAGATCTATGATGTCCTCAATGCTAATTCTAAGGGACAGAAAACCGCCATCCTGTGGTCAAAGCAGGTATAGCAGCCACCAAAAAAATAAATAAAATAAAACCTTTTTGATGGCATTTTAAGATTGTCAAAGCTATCATAGGCCTCTTTAACTCGGTTTAAGACTTTTGAAATAGGATTCTTTCTTCTGTACCTATTCTGCAGCCCTTGGGAATGGAAAATACCGATCAAAGAAGGAATAGTAGCCACCAAACGAAATAAAGTTTTAATGTCATTTTAAGATTATTATTCTTTATTATTAAAACCTTATTGTTAATATTAATAGGCCATAATAGACCTTCTTAAGTCGGTTTAAGGTTTTTGAAGCAGGATTTCTTTTTCTGTTTCTGTGTTGCAGCAAATGGGCCTCCTGTTTCCCTATTTATATTAATAAAGGTTAATAATAAAGATAGAGGATAATAACTTTAAAATCCCATTAAAAAGGTTGGTTTCTTTTTGTGGCTGCAATACCTGCTTTGACCACAGGATGGCACAGTTTCCTGTCCTATAGCACTAACATCTGTGTTAGTGTTATGGGACAGGAAACTGTGCCATCCTGTGGTCAAAGCAGGTATTGCAACCACAAAAAGAAAGAAACCTTTTCGATGGCATTTTAAGACTATTATTCTGTAACTATTGAAGCTACTGTATCACGGGCCTTTTAATTTGGTTTAAGGCTTTTGAAGCAGTACTCTGTGCCTGTTCTGCATCTCCTGGGGAGCAGGAAACAGTGCCATCTTGTGGTCCAAGTAGGAATAGCAGCCTCAAAAAGCATGGCTGCTGACTTCTGTGCCAGTACTTCTCTGAGTGACCTTCCCAGTATGGCTGACTTCCTTTCAGACCTTGGCCAGCGTCCCCTCAACTTCCTTTTGCAGCACATTTCACAGCACGGCCGACCTCCTCCGTGGCTGTCCCCCAGTGGCTCTGGAAAAACTTTTCAATCACGTCCAATTTCCCGTCAATCCTTAGTCATTGAGTTGTTTGCTTTGCCTCCATAGAATTCTGGTTTGCTTTTGGAAGATTTAGCCAACACCTGTACAGTCCTTACTTATTCTAAGATCGATTGTTCAAAACAAAGGGCAAAGAAATCTACTATAACAGCATTTAATAATGTAAGGTCCCAGATGTTTCCCCGAGCCACTGAAATGCCAAAGAGAGTGAGACTCGAGACGAGGCTTGCAAAAAATATCAGCTTTTTATTCTTTGCCCAAAGCAAAAAGTCTGGGTGATACTATTTTCAAACCACAGACAAAAGCATATAAGGAATAGATCCACACTGCAAGAGTGGCTCAGTATTATATACATTTTACGCTGATAGAAACAAAGTTTATCCAGTCAGACAAAGCTTCGTCACCAACATGATCTTTCTTTGTTCAGGCCTCTGTCTCTGCCCATGCTTTGCTATCTTACAGAGTATACCTTGTCCTTGTGTGTTCAGGCTCCTAGGCAGCTCCCCCCCCCCCCCAATCTATGGAGCAGGATGTTCCTGGGAACTGCTCTGAAACAAATTACAGAAACGAGAAACCAGGATACAATTCTCTTACAGAATGAATTCCTAACAAATGATTCCCAACCATAGCAAAATAGTACAAGCAACTTCTTTAACAGAAGCAAAAAGCAAAGGTTAGATTGATTCGTATCAATATGGCCTTTCAATAACAATGGTGTGTATTTGCAAATCTAACTTGTTTAGGGTCTTTATTAATCATTAATGTTTTTAATTAACAGCATAGCCATCAACATTAAGAATGGTTCCCTACGCTCGTTGAAAGGTAATACAAATACAATATTCTCTCTCTCTTTTTTTTTAATTGAATCATTTTTAAAAAGTTTACACATATTTTTCCCCCTCTCCTCCCCCCCTCCTGCCCCAACCCTCCCGCCGCCCTGGATTTCCCAGAGCAAATACAGGGTATAGCATTTAACAAACATAAAAAAAAACATAAACTAACTATCTATAGATTTATCTCCCTGTTGCACTTTAACTCCCCTTGTTCATATCTAAATATAACTATTTAAACCAATTATTACTTGAAAGTAATCAATCCAACTTCGTTCTTGTCCATTCTTCAATAATAAGCAAGTCTTCTTTCTTCCAGCATTACACAGTCAGAGCCCAGTTACAGTTAACCATCAGATCTCCAACCCTTACATATATTAACACCTTAACAAAATATTTTAACCAATCTCAAATAAAATGTATTGTAAAAACCTTATTTTTACTTTTTACCCCATAAGCTTATATTAATTCTTCCTGAAAACATTCCTTGCTTAATAGCTTTGCATAAACTTATTCATCTTATTCTCTACAAATCCACTACGTGTAATCAAATAACATCTTCACTATTTAATATCTATATAAAATATTATGAAAACCCTTCCCTCAACCCTTGCACCACTTATATTTTCCTTATATCCCACAAGTTTATATTATTCTTCAACAAAGCATTCTTTAATATAGTATTAATGTAATTTAAAATAAAGTATAAAGGTTTAAGTAATATCCTTCTTCTAACCCATAAATTTATATTGAATGATCTACACTGTCCATAATTTTTACATCCACAATATTTTTCTTTTAACCCATAAACTTATATGAATTCTTCACCAATTCATAACAATTCAACCATAACATTATTTAATATAACTTTTCAAAACAAATCATGTCCCTAAATATAGGTAAATCATTCATTTTCACTATAATATAACTTTTCAGAACAAATCATATCTCTAAATACAGGTATAATCATTCATTTTCACTATTACTATCCTCCACAAGAAAAAGGATTGTAATTTTTCCTTCTCCATTTTTTCCTGACTTTTTTGCGAACCTTCTGCTTCAGTCTTTTTCCTCCACCTTCTTTTATTTTTATAAGTTCTTGGATTTTTAACTGAAGTTGCTGAACCTTACAATCCTGTTCTCTTCGCAAAGTAATTCCTTTCAGTAAAAACAGCTCTTTAATTGCGATTGGGAATCCATTGTAAAGTTCCACTTCGAATCTTCCTTCTTATATAAGAAATCCCAACGCCTCCTGACAATTTTCCAGTTGTCTGTATCAAAGCCTCTGAAGAAATGTCTCTCAATATTTCCTGGTTACGCTCCTTCAAGCCTCTCTGCCTTTCCTTCTTAATTTGAAAAGCCTCCATTTCATTTTCCAAAGGCACATTAAACTGGATTGTTTCGTCCGCCTCTTCATTCAGCAATTCATTATTGTTTGGCAACTGAAACGATACAGTATCTTCACTTTTATCTTTGTTTCGAATTTGTGTAAAATCTTCTTGAAAAACCCTTCCATTCTTTCCACTAACGTGGAGGTAAATGATTTTAAAATTTCTTCAAAGAAATCCACAGTGAGTATTTGTGTATTTACTGATGTATGTAATGGTGAGCCTTCATCACTTTCAGAAAAGCCAGCCATTTCCCCCCCCCCCCCAATAAAACTTTCACTTTATACTTTTCCAGCAACTGTCAGGTTTCGATGTCATCTCAGCACTTCAAGCTGCATTTATTCTAGTGCTGACAGCAACTAAATCAATTATTTCAATCCTTAAGTGGTACAAGTCTTTTTTTTTTTAGAAATGATTTTTAAATCCTTCTCCTTTTAAAATAACATCCTCTTCTTTTAAACAGGGGCTTTCAGCACCACATAATACTTTGTATCTAACTTTCACTTCTCCACGTCCCGTTAGAATCAAACGCCATCTTACTTTTCCTTTCTCCCATAGAAATTCAGAGGGAAGTGATAGACTTTTCGGAGTTAAAGTTTAGTACTTGCAATCTTAGTTTCTCCTGTATTTGCTCTGCCAGCTTTCAAGTCCAAAATTTTTTTTCTTTAAAGTTGAGTTGCTGGGGTGGTCGCGACGTCTAGTTCTGCTTAAAGCAGAAACGTCCCAGGTCCGGAGCAATGACGGGCTTCCCGGGGAGCTCTCACCCTTTAAGCCCCAGATTTAAAAAGAAACCTGGTGCTCTTGGGGAGCTCTACCCACACCCGTCGGCTCTCTTTCCCCCCTTCTCCCAGGGGGAAAGTTTTCAAGCCGCTAAACAGCTGATTTTCGCTGTTCTAGCGGCTCTAACAGAGTCCTGGGGCTGGCGCTCACAAAGGAGTGTCTTTCGGTGTCGGCGGAGCCACCGGAAGTCCCAAATACAATACTCTCTTAGGGAACAATTATGTTATAAACAGAACTACAGTTTAACCTAAAGTTCATACTCAGCGGTTTAGGTATTGGAATTGGGAAACCACAAGATATAAAACTAGCAAAAAAAATAATTAATTGCATGTGAGAATGAACTTTTGCCTTTCAAGAGCAATTGCCAACTTGAGGCAAAAGGAGGCGAGGGCTGTACTTGCTCCAGTTTTAGGCAATAGC